GTATTTTTGCGTAAATGAAGGGGAGCCCGAAGGATGCAGCACACGGGTAGACATAAAGTGGACATGCAGTTGCCATCTCTGGAAACGGGCTTTTAGCAGAAACCAGGTCTTTGAAACATAAATCTCAGGCAAGTTACCGTTTACTATGTTAAGTGCCAAAGACAGGTTCAGAGCAGAACAGATGTCAGGCAGAGAGAATGTTCCATAAGTCTCATGGGAGATGCCCTCTGGTGAGCAGAGGTGGTTTTCTCACTCTCCAGAGTTCGGTCCTGCCAGATGGTTGGCCATCTGAAAGGAGGCTCACTGGATTCTGGTTGCCCTCACCAGGTCACCTGACACTTCTGTGCATGGTTGCAAGAATTGCCTTTAGCCATTTATACCACCTGGATGTGACATTCAGATTCCCAGGACAGTTTTCTTCTATACAGAAGGGCTGTCTTATCACATTGTCTACATATTCTCCAATAATGGTTAAGCACATAGGTGAGCAGTCTCACTGACCACTGGCACTCTCTGATTCTCCTGTGGACAGTACATAGGAGGGACTGAACCTGGGCCAGGACTCACCATGCCTCCCAGGGCTTGGCAAGGTGCTGTCAACAGATGGGCATCAGGAAGTCAGGACTTACGACTAAGAAGCTTATGAATCTAATGGGGATGAAGAGGACACACAGATTTAAGTTATATCTAAAGGGCTCCAAATAAGTTCTGTAGAAAAAAGCCTTTTACATTTTCTGCCAGTTTTGTGACTGTCACATCTGTAGCAGTATTGCCTGCATTAAGCATGTTGAATAAGGGACATCACTGTTTTTCAAAATGTATTACTTTATTAATATCTCGTATAAAGCTCTGGGAATGGAGGAAGCAGAAGAGATGTTAGCAGACTGATCAGACATGAGGGAGTCTGTGGGGAGAACAGTAGTAGGATGACACCCAGTGTTAATAAATACAGAGACGTTTGCCTTCTATATTGGGAATTGCCTGCATCCCTTGGCCAAATGCACCCCAGTCAGTCCATAGCCATTGGGACAACTGTACTCTGTCTTTAACTTCACTGGCATCTTATTAAGTGTCTGCTTTCTCACTTCAATTTCCCATTTGCCTTAGTACAATCAGTTTTCAATGTGATTTGTTGGCCTGACCAACTCTAAAATAATACATACAGGACATTTAACATAGGGCATTTAAAACTGAAGTACAATAAGGTTCCAGCCTACTTTCTAGCACTATCGCTAGCCTCTACCTTCATACTTCCATGCCCTTACTCATGGCATTTCCTCTGCTTGGTACACATCTCTCTCCCTTTTCTCTCCTGCATCAGTGCTTTGCTCGTATGTCATCTCATCTGCAAAGTCTCTCCTCCAGTTATGTTGTCTTCTGACTGTCACAGTGAATATATGCAGTGGTCCCCACCACCACGTGTACGTGGGAGATACGTGTCAAGGCCCTGATGGATGCCTGAAGCCTTGGATATGGAGCCCTCTGTATAGTATGTTTCTTTCCTATGCATGAATACCTTTTCACTTAAATGAAGCATATTACAGCTTCTCTTGGGCAGCTCTGAATTGCCAGATCCTTTTCACTTGTACCAGTTCTTAAAATAGATCAGCTTTATTTTCCCCTTTTCAGGCTATTTTTTTTTTTTTTAATCTGGGGTTTCTGTACATATTTTAAATTGCAGAGTTGACTGGGAATTTTATAGCCTTTGTAATGATTTTTCCCCTTTTCATGGAAGACTGAGCTTTTCTTTATTTAAATCCTCACCCGAGGATATTTTATCATTGATTTTTAGAGAGAGAGGGAGGAAGAGTAGGGGGAATGGAGAGAGGGAAAGATTGGGGGGTGGGGAGAAACCTCAATGTGAGAGAGACACATTGATTGGTTGCCTCCTGCATGCACGCTCTCAGACCAGGTCCAGGGATTGAACCTGCAACCCAGGTATGTGCCCTTGATAGGAATTGAACCCACGACCCTTTGGTGCAAAGGCCGATGCTATAACCACTAACTCACACCAACCAGGGTTTAAGCCTTTTTTTCTATCCTCGTAGGTCATTTATAGAGGTAGTGCCATCCAGCTAGAATGCAAGATGCTGCCTATCTATCACTCAGTTCCTGCTGTTCAGTGATAATGTAGTCAGTATGCTTCCATGACCCCATGAGGGCTGTGTTTTTCATGGAGTTGCCCTCGATATTTAGATGTTCCTGTTTTCCTCGAGGCCAACATGCTCAGAATGTGAATTTAAAAATTTCACCCTCTCATTATGTAGTGGAAGTCAGGCACTTTAAATTAATTTTCTGTGGCTCCGAGTTTCCTTTCACTCACTGTGTGTTTTAATTTGGTGAATGAATGCTGGCTAGGCATTGGGCACATCAACTGTTTCTCCACTTAGCACTTCTTTTGGGTGAGTCATTTCTGTCTGCCTCACCATCCTTGCTAGACACGGGTGTCCTGTATATATCTTGTGAGCCACGGGGGACCAGGGCACTGTCAGAGCTATAATTAAAGCCTGCTGTGCTCCCAACACAACAAACAGTGTGCGAGTTTAAGGATCTGGCTTCCTTACTGTGCTTCCCTCTCCTTTCATTCTTGTCTGTTGTGCTTAGTTTTTGCATTTGGCTCAGTAAGCCTTTTGGTGTTGGTGGCTGGGCATCAGGTGGGGAAAACCTTTCTTCAAAGATGTTTTGAGAAAAACCAGCGGTGGGTGGGCAAAGGGAGCCTGTCTGCTGCAGACCCGGCTGTGAGGCCTCCCTGTGCATCCGCTGGCTTCCCTGGGGCAGTGGGAGTCCGGCACCCCTGTTCCCCTGAGACTCTTGATTTCCAAATCCGCCACCTCCACACCCTTCACGGAGACTCAGAGGCACGGCTCCCACTGCCTCCAGCCACTGCCGCCAGCACGCAGCCCTGACTCACAGAGAGCTGGGTTGGGTTTTTTTTAACATTTCCTTTCAAACTTGCTTTTGTGTGCTTAGTATGAATGTGCACAGGGTGGAAGGCAGAACATCGATCGCCAGTCCTATAAGAAACTGTGGTAATCATAGTTATGTTCCCATTATAAAGAGTGGCCAGTTGTCAGTCTTTATCATGAATGCCTAAAACACCAAGGCCCAGGTGGCCCAGGACTCACCTCTCCACCTTCACAGACCACCACCTCCAGCAGCCATCCATTTCTCATACCTTCCTACCCTCCCTCCCCACCTCCCGGCCATAACCATGGGGGGGTGGGGGGGTGAACACAAGAAAAGGAAGCTGTGCAAAGTGGCAGAAAGCTGAAGTAAGAAAGCATCATCTGAGAAAGCCTGAGGGCTTTTCCTGTGCTCAGTGGATGTAATACTCTAATGGGAAGATCATAAATAAGTAAATGCATCCTTCACATATGAGACTGGTACGTGCTCTCAAGTAAATGAACGGAGGTGCTGTAGAGGTTGAATCGAGACCTGAAAGAACTAACTACACGAGTGACATGAGGAACAAGCATAGGAGGAGCCCAGATCAGGCAGGTTTCAGACCAAGGGATGCCCAAATCAGAGGTATTAGATGTGTCCTCTCCCCAGCCAGAGAGATCCTGGTGACTGCTGCCCACAGCTTTCTGGCACACCAACCACCAGCCCCGCAAAGACAGTCCTTAATTAAATAAAGCCTTCTTCCACAAGGCCATAAAGCAGCTGCTCCATTATCCCTCTCTTCCAGCCGGCATAGCATTGAGAGGGTTTTTATCAGGAGTGGACGCTTGGGAATCTGGCATCTTAAAGATTAAAAGACTGAGGGGCAGACCCATAGTGAACTTAACTAACCTTGTGACTAAAATTGGCAAAAATCCCCTTTTCCTTTTGAAACTGCATGTGTATTTGCTTTCTCCGAAGCAGGGACTGCATCTAGGGCTGGCCTGGCTGGTGACTCAGAATGAGAGATTGGTAAAGTCCTTGTCCTGACAGTTGTGTTTTTAATGTGCTGCTGAGGTGTGTATGTGGTACGTGGTATTCGGTGCCAGGCTTCAGTGCTCTCCCAGGAATTGGGCAGCATTCTCGGGAGGCTGCTGCTGATAAGGTGCAGGCAGGGCCTGGCTGCTGTGTTTGGGAGCAAGGAGCAGACACCAGCACTTTTATGTCTGAGGCTACCAGCTAGCAAAGTTGCAGCGTCAGGAGCCAAATGGACAGGGGAGAGTCTGGCGTCCTAGCTCCAAAATTAGAAGCAATTCTTAAAATGCCACAGGCTTTCATGGATCTGTTCTCTAATAGCTCTACAAGTAGAGAGTGAGATTTTTAATGGTCACTAAAGATCTTGCAAATGTCATCGACTCGCAGTCTATGTGTTGGAGAATAAGGGTAACGTGGGGCTAATAAGTAAATCCCAGGCAGCCTTCTGAGGGAAATTACTGGAGGGAAGAGGAAAGTGAGCATGCAGGAATTTCTAATCCCATCTGGATTGGAGGGGGATGGGAGCAGAAAATTTGAGTATGCTTGGATCTAGGAAGAAATAGAGACAGTATTGCCAAGGGGTTCAGGATATGGAGTCAGATTCCTTGGTTTCAAATCTCAGCTCCATAACTTGTTACCCGAGTAATCTTGGGCATCTTATTCAAGTTGTTCTGGGCATCAGTTTCCTTATCAGTAAAATAAAGACAATCATAATGACAACTCCCATAAAAGCAATCTAGGTCATTCACATACAGTGCCTAGCACTAAGCCTGACCATTTAGTTTCCTTATCAGATCCTGGTAGACTTCTTGGAGTTGTTGAGGAATGCCTTTTCTGGCTTGTCTTGCAGTGGTCCTTCCCTGGGGGTGAGGGCAGCATCCTTTACTTTTTAAAGTATTCATCTCTACTGGACAGTGCGTGGCCACCAATTAAAGAGAGGTGCGTGCAACAGCAACACATTCGCCAAAGCAACGAACAAAGGAGTCATCAGCAGGACTGCACAAAAGCTGTATGGAATAAAAATCACTTTCTATATTTTTAACCCCCTCTCTCTCCCTTTCTCCCTCACCTCCTGGTTGGTAAAGGTTTTACTCTGCATAACTTACACCCCGACGTTTGACCTGAACGGGAGCGCTGTGCTGAAGATCGCGGAGGTGAGTGCCCGCTGCTGCCCCAGACCTTGGGTGCTGCTTGTACTTGTGCTGCTTGCTCACTGCTGCTTCACCCCAGCTGGCATCCATACTGAGGCAGAGGGAGCCCAGCAGTGGTGGGGAAAGGCCTTCTCTGGTCATGACCCTGGGGAACATCCACTAAGGATTGGATCTGTGAGAAGGCTCGGTGGCCCATCGTCCTAAGTGTTGGTGCTTTGCATGCTTTGATTGGCTTAATTTAATTTTTAACCATAGAAATAACAGTACTGGTTCTTCCCACTGTGCCTTGCTCAGAATGCATTCTTAGTCTGTTTTTCCCCAAGCTCAATTGAAAAGCATTTGATTTTTCTTCAGATGCTTTTTTAAGAAACCAGGTATTTGATTTAGAGAGATGTTTATTGATTAAATTCCATTCCTGTCTCCTAGTCCCCGATGAGTCTATTTTGTAGCTGTCACTGGAAAGCCTTCTCTTTTCTGTCTGTATTGATCTGTACTGCAGCCTGGAGCAATCACTACCTTCCAGCGCTCCCATGAGTATGCCCTAGAGGAAACTGGGCTTTTTGACTGTCTGGCATAAACCTTTGGTTTTTGGATAAAAAGTACAGCTCTGGAATGAACCTCATTATTCCAGAGCTGTACTTTAATACGCTTAGAGTAATTTTCTTTCCATTTCTCGAAAAGATTATCTTCAAGGTTTGTATGTTTTGGCAAGTGTACACCTTCAGACCTCAATGAGGCATTGATATTCCGAATTCTTAAATTACAGAGAAAAAGAAAGCCTATTAGTACTCATGGGTTTTTGTTTTTATAATAATTACTGTTTATTGGGTATACCAGGTAGATGCTAAACACTTTGAATATGTTTTCTTTTTTCACCATTTTTATTATCATTGTTGAGGTATAATTGACAAAGGTATATGTTTAAGCTGTACAACTTGGTGTTTTGATATATATATTTAAATAATCACAACAACCAAGCTAATAAACATATCCATCACCTCACCTAGGTAACATTGTCATGAGTAGTATTTGTATTGGCTGATTTATGGATTTATACAGTATTGTATGCCAGTAAAGGGAGAAAATTATTTTTGAGCACACGGACATTTTTGTGAGTCAGTCAAAATAAAAAGAAGCAGGTAATTAGCTGACCTCTCACTATAGTATAAATCAGTTCTCAAATATGTATTTACATGGTTGGAAAGAACACTTTTAATTCACACATTTATATGTTTTACTCCATACAGATAAAGAAAGAGAACAGCTGTCAATATTTTTTTAAACTGAATTTTGAGAGTACTCATTATGGGCAGGTTCATTCTTTTCTAATGTGGTAAGAACACTTAGGATGAGATCTGCCCTCTTAACATAATCTTAAGTGTAGTACAATACAGTAATCCATAATAATAAAAGTGTAATGTGCTAATTAGACTGGACAACCTTCCGGATGAAGCTGGGGCTGCGAGGGAAGCCAGAGAGAAGTGGGTGCCAGCAGCCCAGGAGCCAGGGGGAGGAAGGCCTACTCTTGCATGAATTTTGTGCGTCAGGCCTCTAGTGTTAACTATGAACACAATGATCTAGAGCAGATCTCCACAATTTATTCATCTTATATAACTGAAACTTTATACCCATTGAATAGTAGTTCCTCTCTATTTATCCCTCTTGGCAAGCACGACTCTACTCTGTTTTTTAGAATTTGACTATTTTAGATTCCCCATTAGTTTTATTTATTTCAGATATCTGTTTATTATTTTTGCCTTGTAATAGAACCTAAAGAAATCTCCTAGAGAATATGCATGTTAACATCTAATGATAGCCTCTTTACAAAAGGTTTATATTTCATGTTATGTAGAATATTTGATTTAATCAAAAGCTACTACAAAATCTAATTCTTACATCTATCACCTTATTTTTTATTGTTGATAGTATTACAGATGTCTCTGTATTGTACTATACTTAAGATTATGCTTCTTGTATGTGCTCTGACCAGAAATTGAACTTCCACCTTGGCATATCAGGATAATGCTTTAACCAATTGAGCTACTCAACTAGGGCTCAAACATATTTCCTAAATGCCTTAACAGTTGATCTGCTACAGAGTTATTCCACTGTTCTATCTGAATATGTGTTTTCACCAATAAGACACAGGGTCAGCTTTTAAAAAGGAGTGGAAATGCCTGCACTCAATCCATATTTAGGTAACCTGGCATAAAAAGAGCATAGAGTAGATCTATTTATAGGAAAAGATAGCAGCAACTTACAAATGTAAGTATATGGATCAGTAGTTATAAATATTAGATTATCAAATGAATAGTATATAGGTAATTTAAGAAAGGATAATAGTAGAATCATCTGAAATCATTGTTTACTTCAGATACATGAGCTAGGAATAAACTTCTTTCTAAAAGGCCTTCATTTTATGGGTGTGTGTTTTTTTAAATTTTATTTGCAAAATAGCTTACAGTCTTTTGGTTTTCACTACAGCAATCATTTAAGAAATGCTTTTTCATCACCAAAATGGGAGGATTACCAAAGAGACATACTGTCACACACACAAAAATAATACCGCTCTGTAGATTTAATGATACCCAATGATTTTTGTAGGCACTCAAGTGCTTTTCACCTGCTAACTTAGCCTTTGAAAATCTGCATCTCTATTTTCAAAGCATGACATTTCAGCCTAAAACTACCATTTAGCTCCAGGAAGTTTTCTTGGTTATATTTGAACTTTCACAGCTGGTGTGACTCAGTGGTTGAGCGTCAACCTATGAATCAGGAGTCACGGTTCTATTTCCTATCAGGGCACAGTCCCGGGTTGCAGGCTTGATCCCTAGTGTAGGGCGTGCAGGAGGCAGCCAATCAATGATTCTCTCTCATTCATGATAATTTCTCTCTCTCTCTCCCCCTTCCTCTGAGAGATCAATAAAAATACATTTTTTAAAAAGTCTTTAACTTAAAGGAAAAAAAGTGATGTTTTCTTCTCTTGTCATGTTTGATGTAGCTAGGGAAATAATTTATAAAAATGCTTTCAAATAAATCATGAAAGCAGCTATGGAAATGTTGGGAAAGATTTTCTTTCATACTCTGGTAACCATTACTCAAAGATAGTGCTTATCCTGAAACCTGTGGATCAGGAAATGGGATTTGTACTTAAGTATGAAAATGAGGCTATTTCCCCAAGGCACTGCTGAAACTTTACAAAGATTGTTAAGCATTTAAAATGTAAATAGGAAGGTGTGTAACTTAACTTGCTTAATTAAACTCGGTAAAGAAATTTTTTCAGTACAGGGTTTTCTACGAAACAGCAGGAATTAGAAATATCACCAAATTTAGAAATGATGTTTCATTGGGAAAAACACACCTGCTGAAAGCTCCTTTATGGCATTTTCTCAGTGAGAAAGTTGAGTTCATAAATGTGTATTTTCTGGTTCGATCTCATTGACTCACTGGAAACTTCTAGTCTCTGATTCTGTGGCATGCTGTCAGGTTCAAGCAGAGTTTGTCTTAAAGATTATTGTTTTATTTAAGATTCTTACTTTCAAGGACCTTTTTTCACTTCCATCTATCTATCAACTTTCCATCCTTCAATTCCAAAACACTGGTTAGTAATATTTGTTAATAGCTGAGCCCTTAGGGCATGTCAGTAGTAGCATTTCACATACATTCTCTTTTAATGTTTACCACAACCAAGTTAGATAAAGAATCCCAGGGAAAGTGAAGTTCATCTGCTTGTCTAAGGTTCTTTAGCTAGACATTCAAATCCAGACTCTTTATATGCAAATATGTGCTATTGACCACTATGCAGTATTGCTTCCTGGTAACCTCCATCTTAGAGGTAGGATCTTGCCATAATAATATTGGCAACTGACTGAAATTCTTAGGAGTCTTACCCTCCTGAGAACTTTACCTGGCATTTAATTTGATAAAGGCTCTATGGTCCTTTTACCTGTGAAGCAGAAGTATTGATGAATTTCACCTCCCTTGTGTGACCATGGATTCACGTGACCATTAGTCATATGCCATTTTCTTGAGTATCTTTACCTATTGATATACAGTTTATCTTTTCTGAGGATTGTTACTATCACAGGATTTGGAGTATAGTTTAGTTCTACTTGTTACCCCAGGGAACTTCAAAAACATTGAAGCCCAAGATCTGCCTCCAGAGATTTCAATATAATGATTCTGGTTGTCATTAAAGTGTGTTTTTTGTTTTTTTAATTGAGCTGACTTAACAACCCTTGAAATGTTCAATAGTCTATTTCTGAGATAGACTTCAAATAAAGTATCCTATAATTAAGGAGCAGATAGTCTCCAGATAAGACACAGATGACCTATCTACTTCTCTTTGAAGCATCTTATTATATTTGCTAGGTTCTTGTAAGGCTGGGGGGAGTAACCCTACCTCCTGGCAAGAGAAATGGCCAAAGGAGCCCAAGCCATTGTCTCAAATCAGCTGAGGCCATTGGAGTAAAGAAATCCCATTTTAAGGGACTGCTTTTTCCACTTTTCCTTCTGGAAACACTTTCTTCTTTGTGGGTAAGTCTCTGTACTCTGTTTTGACTCCTCTGAGGTTTCTGTTCTTTGGCAACTTACTACCAGATGGGCTTTGAGCAAACAAGTTTTTTGTGCAAGGAATTTCCACACTTGCCTTTAATTCTCTGCCTTGCTCTTGAAGAAGTTATTTAGAATTAGGAGACATGGAGCAATGCAGAGCTCCTCTCTGCTTTCTTTGGGCTGGTCTGAGGGCAGAGGCTAGAGTTCAGTGGATCCTTGTAGACCAAGCAGAAGGCTCTGCCTGGGAAGGTGCAGGGATGGATGGGCTGAGGTATCTGAATCCATTTGAACATGGCAGCTAAGCCAAGAAGAATGAGAAAGAGGAAGAGGGAAGTAACAGTCAGAGTTGTCCAAAAGAGTTTCCTTTTAACTGAGATTCAAAATTATTTTTATCTCCATAAAATTTTTCCAATTGGAAACCTGCTAGCTCTTCTCTCTAAGGGACTTATTACTCAGTACCACGCACTGTTTTGACAAAGCTGCACCACTCATCCTTCAGAGAGGAAAGAGAAGGTAAATGCACAATTCAATACAGTGAAGCTCATATGCATTTTGCAAAGTTAAGCACATTTCTATTGTGGAAGCTTTTTTAAAGACATCACTTTGGCCAGTGTTGAATATCTGCCACATTCTACTCTGCTGCTTCATATTTAATCATAGTGAGTCCACCCTGGGTTTAACCTAGTACTGTTATTTATCAGTCTACTTACTCAATGACATAAAACTCGTATCGCTATATATGGCTTGCAGACTTAGCTTTGTGTTTGTTTTCCTTCTGCTGTCGGGGTTTAATTTGCTTCACTAACAGTTTGTTTTTGCTCTCAGTTGTGTTTAGCATGCCGTAAACCTGGATGTCCACAATTGCATGAAATGACCAAAATGTCCATTATGAAACTCCTCACTGCCCTGTGTCTTCGTGCGTTCCCTGGTGATCAGGGGCCTGTGGCTTTTCACAAGGTATTGGACTTGGTCCCTTGATCCTCTGGCAGAGGTCCAGAACTGAGCTTTTTAAATGTCAATTCTACACTACGAAGGCAAAGGGCATGGAACGTAGAAGTGACCTAGGAGATACAAAAAGAGGAAATTGATGAGCCCTTTCTCAGAAACTCAGCCTGCATTTGGACTTGGTATTCTCTTAGCTTTTCTGGTTCAATGTGCTCGTTTTAGCACTGCCCCATAGTGGAGAAAGAAACAACACCCATTCACAATGTGCAAACTCATTGGCTTTTAATATAGTGGTCAGATTTATCATGGAAACCCTAGTTCTACCAATTTACTATTATTATTATTATTATTATTATTATAGCAAATGTAAGGAACTTTTCTTTAGAAGATGTCAGGATAGCTGAAAGCATTTCTTCCTAGGCATCTAAAGACAGCAAGTTATCATACACATGCTAATTTTTACATTTAAAAAGATACCCTTTGTCCAAAACCGGTTTGGCTCAGTGGTAGAGCTTCGGTCTGCGGACTGAAAGGTCTCGGGTTCAATTCCGGTCAAGGGCATGTACCTTGGTTGCGGGCACATCCCCGGTAGGGGGTGTGCAAGAGGCAACTGGTCGATGTTTCTCTCTCATTGACGTTTCTAGTATCTCTCTCCCTTCCTCTCTGTAAAAAATCAATAAAATATATTTTTTAAAAAAAGATACCCTTTGGTCACCTGAATATTTATAATCCCATCGTGGGTAGAATGAGCTTCTTTGATTAATCCTTTTTAAAAAAAAGCAGAGTAAACATGCTTACCTTTTCCCTTAATAAAATGCCTCCTGCAGTAAGTCATTTCCACTGTTAAACCTCTAAACACTAAAAACAGTGGTGACATTGAAAGTTGAAGAAACACATTTGGTATCTGGGACGTTTTCTACATACAGTGCTGTTCGTGTTACTTAAAATCCAGGCCCTCGTATGTACTTTCTTTCATGGGTTTAAAGTGACTGAAATAATTTTTTAAGAAAGGTTTTATAGTGGGTATGGCTCATAGTATTCAGTAGAATTGTGTTTATATTGATATAAAGTATGTAGTTCAGCTTTCAAAATAGCTACTCTTTCATCTTTAATGCTTCTGAGACTTCAAATTTCTCCTGAAATTTAAGCTTAGCAACCTGAAGATCAACAGTTGTAAAGATTTCGTGGGAAAATATAAGATTTAAAGAAAACTTGAATTCTGAGGTATTAATAGTACCAGAGTGCCTAATTACACTATAGAGAATTCGGTTTCATCAAAGTGAACCAGTGCACTCATTTAGATGTATTTTCAAGGCTTTTAAACTCTTTTATCACATGCAGAAATAAAGGCCTTACAGGACTAAAACACCTTTTTTTCTAAGCATGTATAAATAGTACCTTCCATTACAATCCATGATCATCTGAGAAAATGAGTTTAAAGTTAACGTGCCACCGAAACCGGTTTGGCTCAGTGGTAGAGCATCGGTCTGCGGACTGAAAGGTCCCAGGTTCGATTCCGGTCAAGGGCATGTACATTGGTTGCGGGCACATCCCTGGTAGGGGTTGTGCAAGAGGCAGCTGATCGGTTTCTCTCTCATGGACATTTCTAGCTCTTTATCTCTCTCCCTTTCTCTCTGTAAAAAATCAATAATATAAAGTTAACCTGTCCTAAATGGTAATTTGAAAAGTAAATATTTTGAAACTTGCTCTTACTTTTTTCACATGATATGAATAAATCCAAGCCAACTTCCAAATATACTTTTGAGTTTTAAATGCTCATTTGGAATATTAAGTGTTTAACCGGAGATAAATTTAACTGTTAGAAAATATTTACTTTTACTTAGTTAATTTTACCAAAAAGGCAATTACAGAGAGGCCTGACAGAAAATTCTAGCTTAAGCATTAGCAACAAAGGTTAACATTTAGTCTCTCTTCCATCTCAGTTATTAATCATCAAATTAACTTTGCCATTTAGGTGAGAACCTAGTATTTTCACTGTAAATAATCTTGGAGTTATTCCTAGAAAAATAATTTAGGCATACTACATCCCTTTTACTTTTTGTAGGACTAAATATGATTGGAAAATGGAAAGGACTGCATATATTAGAGAGAGAAAAAGTGGACCAATTTAAAGTATGCATTTATTGTTATGCCCATTCCTATATCTTTCAGAGAAATTAGAGGCAACAAAATCTAAAAAGTCATGACATTGAGCAGCAGCATCTTCAAGTGAGAGACTTTTACTCCCCCCAAAATTGGGATTTCTCCATGCTGCAGCCATCAGGGAGCCTGCTCAAGTTCCACTGGACATACAGACTCACAGGACACAACTAGGCCACAGTTGGCATTATATTCCCTGGGCAGGATATAGGACAGGGAGCAGACACGGGTCAATGGCAGGCGTTTGTCTTTCCTAGGCATCCTAACACCAGTACTGAGGGTAGCCTCTGGCTCTCAGATGTCAGCTTAGGAGCCAGAAGATAAGAGCACCTTGTGGGTGCAGTCACCTTGGCTTAGGAGCCTCATATTTCAACTAAAGTTCACCCTTGAACAACACGGAGATAGGGGCACCATCCACTCACGCAGTAGGTAATTCAGGTGTAACCTTTGACTCCCCCAATAGCCTGCTATGGACTGGAAGCCTTCTCAGTAACATAAACAATTGATTGACATATGTTAATGTTTTATACTGTATTCTTACAATAAAGTAAGCCAGAGAAAATAAAATGTTCTTAATAAAAATCATAAGGAAAAGAAAATACATTTGCAGTTCTGTACTATATTTATCAATACCATAAGTTTTTAAAAATTCATGTGTAAATGAACCCAGGCAATACAAGCCTGTGTTGTTCAGGGTCAACTGTATGTGTGTATATAATTATATATATATATATATATATATATATATATATATATATATATATATATATATATATATAATGAACCAACATCTCTGTCAGAGCTTGCAGAGTTCCCTCAGAGGACATGAGCTATGACAAGGGCCACTCAGGGATGCTCAAACCTGTGACTCCTTACTAGATTTTTAAAGTACATCCCCAGGTTTCCCAATTCAGATACAGCTTGGTAATTGGGGACATTTTACCATAAGCCGTGCTGCCTAGTAACACAGCTGATGTCCACCTTTATCAGGTTTCCAGGAGAACACGGAGAGCGAGTTAACCCAAGGTCAGGCTTGTTTATAGAGCAGGAGAAAGGGCTTCGGTTATCCTCTCCCCACACCTGGTAACTCAGGAGTTAGTAACTCTGCTCTATTTTGCCCTGAAGGGAGCTTTTCCTGGTTAATTTCCAGCCACCTGAGTTTGTCCCGGAATTATTGGGCATATCTTTTTTTTTTAAATATTGATTTTTTTTTTTTTTACAGAGAGGAAGGGAGAGGGATAGAGAGTTAGAAACATTGGTGAGAGAGAAACATCAATCAGCTGCCTCCTGCACACCTCCCACTGGGTATGTGCCCACAACCAAGGTATATGCCCCTGACCAGAATCGAACTTGGGACCTTTCAGTCCCAAGGTCGACGCTCTATCCACTGAGCCAAACCGATTAGAGCTATTGGGCATATCTTAACACCACTATGTTGCATTCTCCTCTGGTGCTCAGAAGTGTGAGCTTCTAAGAGGGACGATCTGTAGGGAAATAATACTTTTCCTACATGCTTAAAACACAAATGCTCAGGGATTTAACATATATGTAGGACTTATATATGTAACTAGTTCTAAGTCAGGCTGGCTTTCTGTTTAAGAGCAATTTCATATCCTCTCTGGTTAATACCAAAGCATGTTGGTAATACACTGATATCTATGGAGTGTGTATGTTGCTGTCTTATCTCTTTACCAGGTGTGCATTGAGACATACACATGTAGCTGTCACCAGCGTAGTATAAACACTGCTGTGCGGGCCACTCTAAGCCAGATGCTGAGTGACCTGACTTTGCAGTTACGACAAAGGCAGGAGAATACGGTGAGCCTTGCCAGTGTCTCCGTGTGTAAGTGCATGTATGTGTCCCCACCCCACATACTCCCCACACTGCCAGCTCCCCACCCCCACACTCTGCCAGGACTGCTTCCTACTGAAACAATGGAAGGGCTGGCTTGGTTTTGAAGAACATTTATTTCTATAAATTAAGCTCCTAAATATGTATTTGCCTGTTTCACTCCAAAGCTCTGGGAATGTTTTCCTTACAGTTTCTATCGTTATTTTAGTCATTATTTTGAAATTCACTTTTCTTTTATAATCATTAAAAACAAACGTATCAGATTAAAAATATGTTATAGAAAAGAATTATAACATATTGACAAATACCAGCAGTAAATCCAAAATTAATAGCAGTTAATTCCACGCTTTGAGGTTTGTATCTGTGGGTTCTCGCTAACGAAAGAGCTGTGGCTGGTGGTCTCCTTCACCTGCAGGCACCGCAGTGAGGCTGGACTTGTCGTCTCTCTGTCATCAAAACACCCTGGAGCTTTTTGCTCTGAACTCGAACAGATTGTGTAACATGAGTGTTCCAGGGAAAACATAAATGTAATTGGCTTCTTGCATAAATTATCTTCCGGGAATGTTAACAAGGAGATGATTCCTCTTCAAAATTGGTGTTTTGTTTTGTCTTTTAAAACTGCCTCTGTAAGAACTCAGATTAAAGTTCTTTTAAAATCTGGAAAAAAAAAAAGTATTTTGAAGTGAATACTTCATTGATTTTAGGATGGGAACTGTCAGTCACAGTCTAAAATATCTCAGAAATTAATTTTAGAATTTAAGATTTTATGTTTCACTTTAAATATTGCTAACTTTTAACCTCAATTACTATGTAATTTTTAGAAAACCGTGGACTTATGTGGAACTTTTGAGATAGTCAAATTTTTTCATTCCTCATAAAAACAGATGAGGACACAAAGTCCAAAGAGGTGAAGTTGAAATCTAAAATTAATGAGCTTACCAGTGAGAGAGCCAGAACTTCACCCTGCTCTCCTGGGTCCCAGCCCAGGTTATTAATATGAGCTCTGGCAGCCGGTGTTGGGAAAAACAAACACTAATCACATAAAAACTAATATTGATAATTTTCTTTTGTGTTTTCTCTGTCCAAAGTCTAAGCTTCTATTTAAAAAGTAATAGTTTTAATTTAAAAAGTTTTTAAACATATTTTTATTGATTTCAGAGAGGGAAGAAGAGGAAGAGAGAGAGAAACATCAATGATGAAAGAATCATTGATTGGCTGCCTCCTACATGCCCACTACTGGGGACTGAGCCAGCAACTTGGGTATGTGCCCTTGACCGGAATCCAACCCAGGATGCTTCAGTACACCGGCTGACGCTGAGCCAAATCAACCAGGGCAGATTTTTTTTTTCCTTTGATCATAGCTAGGGCAAATTTTAAGTATTTTTATTATATTAGCTTACTCTTTGTTAAAATAATTTCATGTATGCTAGCATTTGAATGTGGTGGTGTGACGATATTAGTTTAAAGTAAGTTCAAATCTATAAATAGAAACCATTAAGAGAAAAAAAGTATGTTTAATGGAAATAAACTCAAGATGTTGAGAATTATCATGATCATATACAGTCACATTCCATCTTTTCTAAATGGCCATACAATGAAATATTAGAATAGTAATGACACCTTAATGTTTTGAGATGGAATATTTCAATACAACTTTGTAGTTTCAAAGTGGTTTCAATTATATTAGTCATTTAATCTTATTTTTAAAATTTTAAGCAGGAGATCATTAGGTGTCAGATGACTCAGCCTTACAGCTCATGTGGCTCCTTTGTAAGAATGGTGACAGGTATATTTGGTAAGAGCTGGATAAAACCCAAGGGTTATTTGCCTCTGTCCTGTGTGGCTAATCAGCCTTCTGGTCTTGCCCATCACTGACCATCTGGACTCACTCCAACCGGAGGCAAGATCCCAAACTAGGTAGAAAATTAATGTTTTCTGTTATTGCCTTTCTGTTACTCATGCGGTCCCTGGAGATGTGTTCATGTCCCCGAAAGACTCAATGCTCAGTATGCTAATATTCAGAGCATTTGTGATGTATACTAGAGAGACTAAGTCTTGCCACCTAAGAAAGGTTATTTTAAAAAGCCATTAAAAGGAATGGTCCAGCCAAAACCGGTTTGGCTCAGTGGATAGAGCGTCGGTCTGTGGACTGAAAGGTCCCAGGTACGATTCCGGTCAAGGGCATGTACATTGGCTGCAGGCACATCCCCGGTGGGGGGTGTGCAGGAGGCAGCTAGTCGATGTCTCTCTCTCATCGATGTTTCTAGCTCTCTATCCTTTTCCCTTCCTCTCTGTAAAGAATCAATAAAATATTAAAAATAAATAAATAAAGGGAATGGTCCAAGGAAGCTATGTGTCCTGCCTCGGGACACTGAGCATTATCTGGGAAAGCTATGTGGTGTGCAGCGTGACCCATCTCTGGAAAGACATTGCAGGCCATCGCAGAATTAGGAAGACTTAAATGCTATGGAAAGAAAAATCAATCTAGAATGCCAAAAACACTAACATGAACTGTGCCTTCAACCTAATGTCTGCCTGCATTCCACCCTCCTCCCAGTGCAGGTCAGCATTTCACAAAAAATGTGTAGAAGCAGCTGAGCTTGCAAATTAGGGAACAGAGAATGCTAGAAATATGTTCCTATAAAAAGTTTAAAAGCAAACAGTTCCATAGGATGATTTACTGTCTTGTAGGTGATTAGTATGAAAATGCCCTCTTACTATCTCCCTGTGCTAAGAGTTGGGGAGACTGTAGAGCCTATTTCCTATTCTCTGCTCAGCATTCATGGAATTCTCCCTGCAATGGAAGTCAGTGTAGCAATTTGTAAATACCTTTCCCTTCCTAATCTCCCTTCTGTCAAGGTTATGTCTCTACCTTGATAGTTCCAGATCTACCAACCGATAGCCTAACCTGGTTGGTCTGGTCAGACAGTTGGAAATTAATATGCCACCCATCAAGTAGGAAACTGGTACTTCTGACCAGCAGTCATCTTTGGACCTGGATTTTGAAATCCAGAAACAGATCCTTCTAAGACTCTGTATTCTTCAGGTGCCAATCAGAGTGTAGTCTGTGACCTTGGGAAATATAATTATTCCTGCAAAGGTAACTCACCTGTTTAGGTGGGTATTGCCCCCAGTCATAGCTCAGCACCCTGGAATGAGATAGTGTATCACAGGGATTAACCTCTCAGGAAGTTTATGGACTCTTGAATGAATTATTTTTGCAATTGGTAAGCTCAGTTGCAGCCATATGCTTTCCTATAAACCATGAACAATGAAATGCTATCAAGACCTGGAGGGTGAGCTTTAGGTGAGTTAGCTGAGCCCAGAGCACTCAAAATGACATCTTGTTTCTAAGGATTTTCCATTGTTTAAGTCCAGATTTTTTTTGCCTGAATCTACTAATTTTCCTGTGTGTGTGTCTCCCTTACTAGATAATTGAAAACCCGGACGTCCCACAGGAGTTCGGGAGTCAAGGTATTGAATTTGATGTTTGCTTGTTCTCAGTTTGAACGTGGGTATTAGAATGCCTCCCAGTTGCTTGGTGGTGGGGAGTAGAGCTCTCAGGAGAGTCCACGATTCTCCTTGGAGCTTCTGTGTAGCTTTGCCTTACATGGTATGATTAAACCAGCTGTGTTCTTCCTTCTGATCCTACACTCTTATGCCAGCTACTCCTGGTCCTGTTGCAACAGTGAGAGGGAAATGAACTCTTCATAGACCTTCCTGTTGGAGGCTGGTGTTTTAGTTACTTCGTTCTTTATGAATCAGGTGTATTAATTGTTAAAATGAGAATGGGATGGAGGGTGGTAGAACCCTGATTGGTACAAAGTGCTATTGCACCCGAAGTATGTTTGTGAAGTACCCGTTTTTTTTTTTATATGAAAAACAAGTCATCTCATAAGGAATCTTGCAGAAGGACAGGAATCTAGGTAAGGAACTTACATTCTGACCCCACAGGAAAAAGGAAAAAACAGAGGTCCATTTGAAATTAATAAGCAGTTTGATTTTTTTTTTTTTTAATGTTTGGTGGTATTGTTTTCGGAAAGAGATGGGAAATTCAAATCATCTTAACATAAAAAAAGGGTAATGTACATTTTAAATCAGATTTTATTAAGTGATTTAAAAATACTGGAAATAGTCTTTTTTTGATAGTTTTGACAGTTAACAGGGAGAAGGGATGCAGTAGAGAGACGATAGAAAAGCGGGATGAAAGGGGGAGAGAGCTACACAGTCACAATGAGGAGAAGGAGAGTAAATAAAAGAAACGAGAGAAAAATATCTGAAGTCATTTTCTAAATAATTGCTGGAGTGGTTGTTCCAGCCGCATCTCTCTATGTTGTCAGGCTGTAGACTGGAAGTGCTACAGAATCTCTTCACCTTTTAATGCTCCCAGCGATAGGCTCCAACATTTTCCACCCCTCTTTCCTTCTCTTTTGGCAATTGCAGTTCCCATAAAATCTTCACTTTATTAGTAGAGTGATGTTATAAACTGGAAGGGAGTTCAAAGTCCTCTTGGTCAAAGATACATCTTTAAAAATATATTATAATAGTACAAAATTGATGGACTCATTTGAAATTTATCTAAAATTGAGATTAAGGACTATTTGTGAGTTTTATTATTTTTTAAAAAATGTTTTTATTGATTTTCAGCAAGAGGAAGAAAGAGGGAGAGAAAGAGATAGAAACATCAATGATGAGAGAGCTGCCTCCTGCATGCCCCATACTGTGGATGGAGCCCAAAACCTGGGCATGTGCCCACCAGGAATCAAACCATGACTTCCTTGTTCATAGGTCAATGTGCAACTACTGAGCCACACCAGCTAGGCAGTTTTATTTATTTTAAACTGTGTTTTATAATTTACCATCCTGTCTGTCTGGATTTAAGATCACCGAGTCTAAGGATCAGCATTTCTCTTTCCCCTGCCCTCTTCCAACTTTACTTTTATTTCTCTCTTATACTCTGGCCATTTTCCCCTCTGTCTTCCTAGATTTCATGGGTATTCATTAATTTATTTATACATCTGTCAAATACTTAGCCACATTTGTATAGATCTTTACAGGTTTTTATTTTTTTTAAACACACAAATGCTCCCACTTGTTACTTTCCTTGGCCCAATTATTTGGTGTAATGGGTATTATCTCATCTTAACAAAGGAAAAATTGATGTTTATGCAAGCTTATGCAGTCAGCAACTTGTGGACTAGTACTTAAGTCTATTCCAAATTTCAGCCTTTTTCCAATGCGCTCTACTGCTTTATGGGAGTTTTGTTGTCAGTTCATGATTTGAACATGTTTTTTTTGTGTTTGTTTCCCCCTCCCCCCCTGAAATTTGCTATTGCTCTATTAATACCAGTGCTCTAAGGATGGTGGACAAATAAAGTGGTCAAGATGGTAACCAGATGTTTTGCCCTCCTTCTCTGGCTTCCTACTTTGAAAGGCCCACCTTTCTTAAATGCTGCCATATTTTATCTTGTTGGGATACAGTTCTGCTCACAAAACCGAGAAAAACAAGAGGTCAGAATAAGGGACACACATATAGTCTACTGGTCAGAATATTGAGAAAATCATTGTCAATTATGGTGATTCTTGAATAAATATCTCTTCATTAAGTGTGAATGAATTTAATAAGAAATAACCTCTTGTTTTCTTTTTGGACTATCTTTTCAGTATTTTACTTTAGAAAGGAGTCATTATATTAAAATGTATTACATTTTGGTGGTCCAAGGAAGTCAGCATCTGAAAATCATCGTTTCAGTCCTGAAAAGATAAGGAGGAGGAAGAGAAGGACCATTGAGGGACCTTTGAGTGCCACTTCGATGTCTAATACCTATAACCTCCTCTGTTTGCAGGGTCGACCGTAGAGGCCCTCTGTGATGACCTTGTCTCTGTGCTCACTGTTCTGTGTGAGAAGCTGCAAGCCGCCATCAAGTAAGTGCCTCCAGATTTGGGCTCTTATTCACTAACAGTCTATTACCAACATGACTTTTGTCTTTAACAATATGCAAAATGGCAGATCATGGGGACGATGGCTCCTCCCATCGGTATTAATTTCTGAGAAATAGTTTCAGTGACCTTAGGCAAGCCTGCATTACCCAGTACTATTACTGATAGATATAACTTTCTGATGAGAAAATGCAAGGAAGAGTCAGTCCCTCAAGCATGGATCCAAATGGAAAGAATGTTGGCTGAGAATTAGTAGCTGGGAAGGCTAGTACTCACCTGGACATATCCCAGTGCGACCCTGAGTCTCATCAAACTGTTGCACCTTTCTCCTCAGTTACTGGCAGAGTTGGGCACTGTGGTCTTTTTCTGTCTCATTGAACATTTCCTGAGCCTCTGAGCTCACATGCATATCTTTAAAAGGGACATGTTACTCTGACTTTTATACACTTGTCATTTTTATGGCAATTTAATTTAATCAGCTGTCAAGGATGCTTTTTCTGTACCCTCTGCCCCTGTCTTAGCATTATTAGGGAAATAAAACAAAGACCACTAAGACTTTGAAAAGTACAAAGTCTATGTTCACTACTTTGCAGGCAAGGGAAAGCCAATAAGCTAAACTTTGTTTTTTTTCTGAGTCATTTACTAAGGGAAAACACTAAAGATTTTTAAATGCTACAAAAGTTGGGGAACTCGTGGTAATTATGCCATTAATAACCCAAAACTAGCCATCAGGATAAGTCAGAATGAGTCTGCATGTCTACAAATGATAAATTTAAAGCGTGTCTCTGTTGATTGGTCAGGAAAGAGTCTTCACCTAGGTCCAAGAAGGGCTTTAAGTTCATGGTTCTTTAAAACCTGATGGCTCTAACATCAGCTACAGTGACTCCCCATGTGTAGAGTGACCATATGACCTAGTTTACCTGGGACCATCCAAGTTTATGCCTGTTGTAATCATTATAAACATTCAGTGCTGATATATTCTAAGAAGTTCTGATGTAAGTGAAATTTTTCAACTGCACAGTGCCTAGCATATAGTAACAACTTGACAGATATTAGCTCTAAAATGGTCTTTTTACTTTCAATATTGCCAGTGCTAATTCTAGCTTATGATGCATTTGGAACATTGAATTTCTTACACCATAAATTTGACTGTAGGTTACTAGGAAAACATATGGCACAAACCTTCATTGCAAATGCATACAAATTAGAAACTAAAAGTTATAGATTTCTGTCAGTTACTAAAAAAAAATGTTTCTGAGCCATATAACTGGAGAATTGGCTTTAAGTGGGGAAAGTAACTCATGTGACATGTATATGGTTTTCTAGGGTTTCTGATTGGACAGCTTAATAATTTCCTTGTTTGGTTTTTCAATGCACTTCTGCCTCTGACTACTGTTTACCTTGTTTGAATCTGATCTTTCCTATTATGATTCTATTACCCTAAGATGGGGGTACTATTGCTAAAGAATCTGAGGGTGCAGCATGCTTAGTACAGCTTCAGTAGAAGACCTTTAAGTCCACCTGGTCAGGTTCTATCATGCTCTTGGCTACTGTCACTCTGGCGTTTCTGTTAATTCTCCTTGTTAAGTTTTCACACCTCTGACAATTTCTTCTGATTTTATTTTCATAACGCCGTGTGTTTCTGTTAGCCAAACTTGACACCTCTCTTACCTTCTAAATATCTTCTTTCTCTGAAATCACTCTATGGTCAGTACTTCCCCTCAACAACCATCCCCAAAATACCTCCTAGGACTTTAGCTCTTTAGAAATAGTATCCATGGCATGTTCATTCTCTCAGGAACATCCAGAGAATGCATTCAGTTACTCAGAATAACTCGAGTGCCTTGGAGATACGGTATTAATAGAATTCCATATTAGGCAAGTTGAGTTACACGATGTTTAAATCCAAGAACTTTTGGAAGGATAATTGGGCTTAGGAATATATGTATTCATTCTCTCCCTGTTCATCTCCCACCACCCTCTCCTCCCGACACAGAATATCAGGGAAGAATCTGCACCAAAGCAGTCTTAGAATCCATGAGGCCCGGCTCAGTGTTCATCTCGTGTGTTCTAATTCCATTCCACTGCTCACACAGTTGCTTAAGTCCCTCTCTCCTTTGTCTAACTAAATCTGAACTGTTTTTAAAGGAGGCTCAGTCAGAATAGTTCAAGATAAAACTCTGCGGTCCAGAACATGCCGCCTGATTGCCTGGCAGAAGTCCTGCCAGGATAGGCAGCTGCTTAGCCCTCATGGCCTCCTGGTCTACTCGGGAGACTTGTCCTCTATGGGTTCTGCACCTACAAGAAATTCAGAGATGAGCAGAAAATGAAGCCAGTAGACACTCAGCCTGCCAGCCATGAGATGCTCAAACAAAAGACCAGGCAAAGTGACTCACACCCTCCTGCTCAGACAGATTTTTCCCTAGTGTGTTTTGAAAGAGTTGGCTGGTTTCTAGGCTCCTTGCTGCCTTGTGCATCTTACACATTTTTACATCTAGAGTCAAACAAATGTGAAGCACACATACACACACTGTGCACATGCCTATATGTGTGTGTAGTGAGGGGCATGCATGGGCAGTGCTTACATTTCAAACAGCCGCTCTAATGACATGATTCATGTCAAGTCATTAGCACCTGTTTTTCCTGGTGCTACAACCCACAGAAAAGATGCCACATTTGGTCTCCAAGGAGACTCCCAGGCCAGTTACCTTGGCAATGCATTCTCCCTGTCATCCAGTCTGATGCCTGGGGGTTGCCACAGACACTTATAGGAACCTGGACTGCTCATAGTTTCTCTATAGGTTTATTTCTAGTGATTCCAGAAATTGAGCATGCTTATTATCGTCTCTAACTATTTTAGTTTTGTGATGCTAGTCTAACAGCTAAGGGATAAAGAGACACTTTCAAATTGGAGCATTTAATAATTACTTTTCTTAACAGGGAATCAGGTGATTGGTCAAAAAGATTAGCCTGGGACTAGAGCAAAAGCTGTTCTTTTCAGAACTGATTTTTTAAAATGTGGTTTATCATTGTTGCGGTGGCCCTTCTGTTGCCCTCTCCAATCTGTTCATTTGTACAGCATCCAGAATGATCATTCTGAAATATGAATCTGGTCATGTCACTCTTCTACTTGCAGAATAAAGTCCAGACATCTTAGCACAGCCTACAAGAGCCTTCCTATGCTGACCCCTGCCCTCCTCTCCAGCCCAGGTCCTGCTGGTGACATCTTCACACGCTGCACTCCAGTCACAAACGACCCCATCCACCCCACACTTTGCACACACGCTCTCCCCAACACCAAAACGCACTAGAGGCTCCTACATGAACTTTAGGGCTTCACTGAGATACATTTCCTTTGGGACTTCTTTCTGGGTCTTTCTAAGGAGGGTCAGATGCCACTCCTCTGCTCTCATAGAATCTTTTGTTAAATTATTCTTTTATGGCCACTTTCTGCACTGTGCTTTGTATACTTATCTTTCTAGACTCACAAAAATGAAGAATGTGCTGTTTACAGTCAGGAACTATGTTTTGTTCAAAAGTGTAGGGAAGCTCGTGGGTGTAAGGATACGGACACGGGAAGTTCATCCAGGGCCCAAGAGTGGCTAGTCATGTCTTGTCTTTCTTCCTCTTCCCTAGCCACCACCCTCCTCTTGGCAAAGGATAATTATTTCTGAGGAGACTCAGCTTTGACCCCTCTCTTCTTCCACCCTCAGAGGGTTTGGTAGAGTACATCCAAACAGGAGTGGAACTCCCTTTCCAAAATCATCGCATTACCTTGATCATTATACAGTTCTCTCAACAAGAGAGATCTGTGAGTCAGCAAACGTTTTCTGTAAAGGGCCACACGCTTTCTCTGTGTCCTGTTCATCTTTGGGTTTGTTTTGTTTTACAACCCTTCAAAATGTAAAAATCTTTTTTAGTTCATAGGCCATGGCAGGATTTCTCCCTTGGGCTGTGGCTTTCCAACTTGCTTTAAAGGATAATGTCAGTTTTATGGAGCCGTATCACCGAGGCATTTAACACAGCACTTAAGTGAGGGTCCCCAGCCTCTTCTTCCGATGCTTTGTCTGACAGCTGCTCAGTCTGGCCATTGTGTGGATGTGACCTGGGCTTTGGCGGGGAGGGTGATCTGGTATTAACTTCCCTTCCTTCCTGTCTCCTTAAATTTTAAGTCTGCCTGTCACTGGTCTTGCCTTTTCCTTTTGCCTCCTTCTCCTGGAAATTATTTGAACTGTTAAGGGCATTAAGCTTCCTTTGGGCATATTTTCACTTTAAATCTAGAGAAAAGAGAGACAACCAAAATTATCTTTTAAAACAAGTTTTTCCTTTTACTGAACATTTTCATTCCACTCAGGATTTCTGAATGGTCTTAAAAATGTATTATGTACTTGTAGCAAATGTGTCCTTGGACATTAAATTATTATTTAATTCTGGTGGGTTAGGCAGCAGACTTAGCCTGTGGCTCCATTGGTTGGAGCATCGTCACAGAGTTGGTTCCTACTCAGGGTGGAGGGATCTATTGCAAGCCTCTCTTGGCTTGTAGACGGCCGCCTTCTTCCCATGTCTTTTCACATTATCCTGCCTCTGCATGTCCCTGTCTCCAAATTTCTCCTTTTTATAAGGACACCAGTCCCGTGGAGTCTGGACCCAATCTAATGACCTCACTGTAACTCACTTGCCTTTACAAAGAACCTATCTCCAAAAAGGTCACATTCTGAGGCATTGGGGTTTAGGACATCAACATACGAATCCAGAGGCGGACACATTCAACCCATGACACCAACCCCTTCCCCCAACTGACATTTTTATAATGCCTGCCATTCTTCCAAGTGTTTCCCACACACCACCTCTAACCTTGCCTTGGCAATGTGTGCCTGTGTGTTGGTTTTGTTCTGCAGCGACAGTCAGCAGCTGCAGCTGCTGTACCTGGAGTGCATCCTGTCCATGCTCAGCAGCTGCTCCTCCTCCATGCACCTGCACAAGGGCTTCACAGACCTGACCTGGTGAGCCCCCCGCCCCCACGCCAGCCCGAGGGTTTGCTCTTTCCAGCTGTGCCCGTGGGTCCCTTCCCACAGCCTCCATGACCCGCCAGGCCTTTCGCCTGTGAAAATGTTCTCTCCGGGAAAGTGGGGAAGTTGCTTTGCTTACATGCACCGGAGCGAAACTGATGATTCCTGCAGCAGAATAGGCCTCCAAGGCCCTCTTGCAGATGGTTTACATCATAGGATCGTGAGACTCAGAAATGAGGAAATTATTTTCTCGGTTATTCATTTGTTCTAAAAGCATATAAAGGCTCTGCAAAGCTATGCGAGGTGGCGGGGGAGGAGCAAGAAATACTGAACATTATTCTTAGCCCTACCCTGGCACTTTTTCCACGTCAACCCAAATACTAGTCACTTAGTCATAGTCAGAGATTCACACAAGTGACAGGGCCTGCAGGCAGCCAGCTCATTGTTCTGGGTTCCTGGGCTTATCCACAGGGAGGAATATGAATGATATGTGTCAGAATTTTAAATAAACTTCTCAAAATAATTTTGTTACTTATAGGAAAAGGAAACTTTATGTCTAAGCCATTTCACAGTTTTAGTCTATATCTCTATGTAGGATGGTTTCTTGATGGTTCTCTTGATATTTTATTTAGTTAACCCTAGCTTGACTTATGAGAAAGAATATTTTATTCTTATACTCAGAAATGATGGCGGGACATAGAGAACTGAGGCAGGACAGAGCCCAGAAAAAGGAGCAATAAAGAACCCAACTCTGTAGTCATTTGTGTGGCATTTGGTGTTTGCACTCGGGATAGTATTCACATTCAATCCTTTGGCTTGTAGTGAAACTCATTTTTCTCCCCATCTCTTCCCAGGAAAAACCTTTGCCCTGCTCTCATCGTGATCCTGGGGAATCCAATTCATGACAAAACCATCACCTCTGCTCACAGCAGCAGCACGAGTGCCAGCATGGAGTCAGACTCTGCGTCTCCAGGCGTTTCTGACCATGGCCGGGGCTCAGGCTGTTCCTCCACTGCACCCGCCCTGAGTGGGCCTGTGGCTCGGACCATCTATTACATTGCAGCTGAGCTGGTCCGGCTGGTGGGGTCGGTGGACTCCATGAAGCCCGTGCTCCAGTCCCTCTATCACCGCATGCTGCTCTACCCCCCACCCCAGCACCGGGTGGAAGCCATCAAAGTGATGAAAGAGGTAGGGATGCACCAAAGAATGCCACTATGCATGCCAGGGACTGAGCACAGTATATTTAAGCAGGTCGCCAGTCACCTGCTAGGTAGGACTTCATTGCTACCAGTAACAGAGAGTCTATCCAGTAACAGATAGTCTCTTTAGGGCGGAGGGGTGTGTGTGTGTGTGTGTGTGTGTGTGTGTGCGCGTGTGTGAAGCAGGGGTCAGTAGGGGTGACAAGCCATTTGATAATCTGAGCTGCATGCATCTGCTTGGGCCCTGGGCTGAGATTCTATTCTGCTCTCTTAGGGGCTGTTTGATGTGTATTTACTCATCTTTGCCAAAATTGGATTTCAAAATTTTATACTCAGGTTGTACATTATCCAAAAAAGGACATTACTTATCTCTGATTAGGAATAGGAAACCCTTTGCCCCATCCCTTCTTAGGCCTTGTATCTCCCAAACATCGTGATCCTGGTGAGAACATAAAGGTTGTCCAGCTTATATTAATCATCCCAGCATACTTCTTCATGGTTTTGAGGAGAAATTGGTGTTATTTTAAAGGTACTTTAAATAAGAATTCCTCTGCTTTCTATCAACTCACCAAAAAGAAAATTAATCAACTTTTTTGTATTTGCAAACTTGCTTGTGAAGGTCAAATTGCACTTCCTTTTGGTACCTAACACCAAAACACCAAAATTTCCTTGTTGATAACTCATTTATTCTAAGCAATATTTGTTACTCACCATTTCTAAGAAGCTTAATTTGAAATGCTTCTTGGTGGTGTTTTAATGAGAGTTGACTGTAATGAGTGATGGCAAGTTCTGACCCTGTGTTTCTAGAAATGAAAAAGTGAGCCAGAAAACTGGTTAAGAAAAATCGATGCACACACAATGATAACCACATCTTTTTCTTATGTCAGGCACTTCACATACATTAGCTTTTACTATTCATGGTAACTTTGAAGTATTGAAGGTCATTGCTTCAAGCAAGGAAATCAAAGGGTCAGCTTTAATAACCAGCCATTACTAGGTTGGTAATAGGATACAGTTTGGGAGGCTAGACTACTTCGTCACCACCCAAACAGCAGTGGCCCTCACTTGCAGATCCAGCCCTACCCATTAAGCTGGTTACGTGGGCAGTAGAAGTGGACATTTTCTGAATAGGCAGGTCTTCAAGAAAAGCCACACATGCTCAGCTCCTCCTGAATTCACCACTGGTAAGAAGTGAAAGAGAAAAAGAGAGAAGAGAGGCCCAGAATTTTATTCCACTGGATGTTCCTCTCATAGAAACATGAAGTCAAGAAAAAGGATTTTCTCTTCTACAAAGAAACTAAGTCTCCAATGGTCAAATGATTTGCTCAAGGTCACCAAGAGAGAGAAATGGTGCAAATGTTGGTTTAGCTGAGCCTAAACCTATGATCATTTCCTATACCACACTTACTACTGGACTTAAGTTTGATATTGCAATGCAAATTATTCTAGGAGCTCCTTTGCCGGAGCTGGCTCAGTGACCCTCTCATAATCCTACGTTTGAAAGTTAGAGTTTAAATCCTCTCTGCCACTCACCAGCCACATTACAGTAGCTAAATCATTTAACTCTGAACTTAAAAATTTTCATCTGTACATAGCAGTAATATTCCAAAGGGTGTGAGTTCAAAATGTGGTCAAGTTTGTATAAGTACTTTGTAAGCATAAAATGCTAAACAAATATCTGGTGCACTTATTGCTAAAGAAGAACAAAACAAAGCATGAAGAATGGAAATACTAGTCCTCATTACCTCCTGCTCAGAGTAGTGCACTTTGTCTCCTGCTTGCCTTCATTTTGTCTTTCTGAACTTAGGTTCAAAATCACCACTGTTGACAATTTTCCCCACTTTCAAATAACTCCTTGTCATCTCTCAAGTCTGAATTCCTCTGCCAAATTTCTAGACTGTTCTGTTTTCATTTTCATTTCCCATCTTTCTCCAGGAGCACCCTTGTTCCATCTGACAGACCCTGTTCTGCTCAGTTCCCACCTTCCTGCCTCTATTTGGACTCCCCCTGGTCCTATTGGCCACTGTCACTGCTGGTTCCTCACATTGGATTACTTACAGTCTCCCTGAGGAAGGTGATATGCCCATTTTCCAGATGGAGAACTGAGGCTCCATTGCTATTTTCCCCAGGTCCTCGTGTGTTGTAGAGTTAAAACATGAACCCAGGTGTTCTAAATACAGCTGCCTCTTTGCTGTCAAAATCCTCCTCCTCTATGGCTTTGCTTCCTCAAGCCACTGATTTTGCTCTGCTTAAAACCCCATCCCACCACTTACAATTGATTATATGTGGCAGTATACTGATTGTTTCGCAGTTCAGTGTGGAACAAACTTCTTAGCTCCTAAATATATTTTCATATGTATTGCTTTTGTATGTTTCCCCTAGTACCTGACACTGTAGCAATTGAATCAGAATAAGCGTTTAATATATTTTGACTATGACAGATGGGCCTGAAAACAGACCATATGCAAAGAGGGTATTTTGTGAGCAGCAGCAACCTCGGAGTTGACAGGCCCTGGAGTTGTTACTACCCGTGGTAGAGCCACTTGATACCTGAATGCTAAAAATACTCTGCCTACAGGGTATGTAGGTGTCTAAATGCATTTAAAATAACGTCTTAAGTACCAAAAAGGAAATTAGTTATGTTTCCCCCTTTTTCATAGATGTTTTAGTTTCCCAAGGTCATTTTGCAGGGCTAGCACAGAATTAGAGCCCAGCATCTGGGCAGCACAGCGTGTCCAGGCAATGCTGCCCCATGGGCACAGCAGGCTGACGTGGGCCGGGCTGCTCTGTAAAGCAGTGCCTGCACTTACTATGACAGCACCAACAATTGGGGAAGGCTGGTAACCTAGAAACCAAAACGTGCTGGGTTTATGCACACAAAACCACTGGGCACCCAGGATGTTTGCTTAGCCTTTTGGAGTTTGAACCCTGGGGTGTTATTTCCTGGTCTCTTCGTAATTTACTGCTCTGCCATATGCCCCCTGTACATATTCATCAAAGACATGCAGGACAGTTTGTTTTTCCAAGTATATTGTCTTTTCTGTGTCCACTTTCTCTCCCAAAAGTACACCTTGCTTCCTTCTTTCTCTCCCATGGTTCAGCTTTAGGAGTTCCCTAATCTTTATCAGACCTGTGGCACCCAACCACTGATTTTCATAGTTCTCATTCCCACCTGAAGAAGCTGACATTAGACATACTGAGAGTTCTTCAGAGGCCTAATTATTCAGCCTCCTTTTCCTTTAGATTTGGAACAACTGAGTAATAAATATAAGATTAATGTGGGAATTAATATATGTAATCTAATTTATCACTGATAGATCTAGATTAAAGAATCTAATGGATCCCAAGAGAAAGAGATGTTTCCCACTCCATTGCTCCTGAAATGACTTATCCTTTTAGCAAGAAATGGGGCAGCTAGAGGCCCATATGCCTAACCACTTCCCTTGAATGCAAGCCTAGTTTTGTGTGTGTGTGTGTGTGTGTGTGTGTGTGTGTGTGTGTGTGTGTGTGTTGGGGAAGATTTCAATCTCAAAGAAATAGAATGTGGAGAAAAAAAGTGCAAGTTTCATTTCTGTGCTTTCACGAGAACAGAAGCTCCCAATTTCTAGGATTAAAAAAAATAGGGAGACAGGGAAAGAGGAGTGCCACTTAGGATATAACACTTTCTACTTAATATACCAGGAATGCAAATATAATCCACTTTGAAAATAACAGACATGGAATAAGTTATCTGTTCTAATACACTTAATTAACCAGCCTTTTCTTGAATTAATTTAGCCTCAAATTGAAATACTCATAGATTTCTACCATATGGAAATAAAATTAATATTGAACAATTATGAAAATTCTATACACAAAAAAAATTTTAGGATGCAGCCAAAGCAGTGCACAGAAGGATATTTACAGCTTCAATTGTTTATATTAAAAAACAGCTGAAACTTCGTGTTCTAATTTTTCAACTTAGGTAGTTAGGAGAAAAATCAGATTAAATTAAAAGAAGGCAGAAAGGAGTGAAAATAACGATAAAAGAGGAAAGTAATGTGATAAATAGGCAACATAATATAGTAAAAACTCCTGGAAAAAGCAGTAAAAAGAAATTCCAGAATCATTAAAAACAAACAAAAATAAGACTGAAAAAATGCTCATAAACTATAAATGTTGTAAACATTAAAGAAGGTATTAAGACACCTTAGGACACTACATTTGATAACTTAGATAAAATTGGTAAATTTCTAAGAAACAACTCAATCTTTGAAAATTTGGCTCCTTCCCTAGCTGGTTTGGCTCAGTGGATAGAGTGTCCACCTACGGTCTGTAGGGTCTCGAGTTCAATTCCAGTCAAAGGCACATGCTTGGGTTGTGGGCCTGTTCCCCAGCAGGAAGTGCACAGGAGGCTCAGGGAGTGCACAGGGAGTGCACAAATGATTCTCTCTCATCTGTTTCTATCTCTCTCCCTCTCTGAAATATATATTAGAGGCCTGGAGCACAAAATTCATACACTTAGGAGGGGGCCAGCCTGCTCTGGACCCTCTCACAGCCCGGGAGCACTGGGGGGTGTCCTACTGACAGTTTAGGCCTACTTCCCACATCCTTAGCACTGCTGCAGAGGCAAGAGAGGATCCTGCCACCACCGTGATGTTCACTATGGCTCATGGCTTCTGGATGAGCAGTGCTCTCTCTGTCAGAGTGCCCTGACCATCAAGGAACAGCTCCTAATTTGAGTGTCAGCCCTCAAGTAGTCATAGTGAGAGGTTGAGTGGTCTTAGCATGTCATTAGCATATTACTCCTTGATTGGTTGAATGGCCTACTGGATGACCGAACACTTAGCATATTAGGCTTTTATTATATAAGATACAGAAATAGATATATTTTTAAAATGTTGGCACATGAAGAAATTGAGGACCTAAATAGTCCTATTATCTTTAAAATAGTTAAATCAATAGTAAAAGTTCCATTTAGAAAAAAATTACTGGCTACATAAAGCTTTGGAAACATTCAAGGAACGATAATTCTAATACATGGACTTTTCCAAAAGAGTAGGGAGATATGGAGTACTCAACCCAGTTTTTAAAGCTCGCCAACATGACAGCAAAAATAAGACCAAGAGAGAATAGGACAGTTGAATTACAGGCCAATCTCTCTAAAGAACATTGATGTAAGTGCTTTCTAATTCTGTGCTATAAACAAATTGAAACAACCGTAAGCATTTTCTTGGTCTAAGCCAGTTCTGAACTGAGGAGCTGGAAATCCATGTGCACTCTACGTTAAGAACACCCAAATCACTTCTAAGATTTGACTTCCAAATAGTGGTGCTTCTCCTCAGGCTGTTTCACTCAGTAGAGAAAGTACATGTGCATTTGATCTCACAGTTTTAAAAATGTTTTCTATGTTATTCACTTTTTTATTATTCTATCTCCCCCCCCCCCCCCATTTTTTTTTAATTCTAGCTACTTGGGAGCCCACAGCGTCTCTGCGATTTGGCAGGACCCAGCTCCACTGAACCCGAATCCAGAAAAAGATCAATTTCAAAAAGAAAGTCTCATCTGGATCTTCTCAAACTGTATGACACATTCTCCTTTTTAGGTCTCTATTGCTTGGCAAAGACTGCTTCTCTGACTACTCTTGACCTTGTTTTGAAATCCCTGAAATTTTATGATTCTATACTATATGAAGTGTGACTATTTAATAACATACACACAGACCATATGAGAACTCTTATCCTAATTTATCATAACTGTATAACTTTCCATAATTTTATATTTACTTAACCCAGTATACAAAATGAAATGTACAAACATATTTATTGGGGTTATTTTAGGGAAAATCTTTTTCAATTAATTACAGTGACTATAGGATTTCTCCTTAAGGATTCCTTTGCGCTAGAGATGATTTCCTTTTCCCTCTACAAAATGAAAAAGTATCTGATTTGTAATAGCTATATTTACATGTATCTGCTCAGGAATATGTTTACTTCAGAAGACGTGCACACTATCATAATCATAGCCATTATAACCATTTTCTGCTTGAAAACAGAACCTAATACAATAGCGAGATTATTCATTATCTGTCACCATGAAACTGACAAATTCCCACCTGGAATTTTGCTCATACCCAAGTAAACCAACCACCTTGAGAGCGAGATTCAAGGTGGGCTGCTTTACCTTGAGGTTTTCCGCTGCCATCTTGAGCATGTTTGTATCAGTTACTTTATGCCCAGACCATTTAATTTTGGGTAAATTAGAGCACATGCTTTGAATACTATACTGTTCACTGGTCAAACAGTCCTTGTTCATTTTGGAGCATTTTTTCATGCTTCATGTAATGATCCCACTTTCTCCTTTGAACGCTTTTAGCATCATGGATGGCATGACCGAAGCTTGCATCAAGGGTGGCATCGAGGCTTGCTATGCCGCCGTGTCCTGCGTCTGCACCTTACTCGGGGCCCTCGACGAGCTCAGCCAGGGAAAGGGCCTGAGTGAAGGTCAGGTCCAGCTGCTGCTCCAGCGCCTGGAGGAGCTGAAGGACGGGGCCGAGTCAAGCAGGGACTCCATGGAGATCAACGAGGCCGACTTCCGCTGGCAGCGGCGAGTCCTGTCCTCGGAACACACGCCGTGGGAGTCGGGGAATGAGAGGAGCCCCGACATCAGCATCAGTGTGACCACGGACACGGGCCAGACCACTCTGGAGGGAGAGTTGGGTCAGACCACACCTGAGGACCACTCCAGAAACCGCAAGAACAGCCTCAAGTCCCCAGCCGTCCAGGAGAGCAAGGAGGCGCTGAGCAAAGTGTCAGAACCAGAAGCGGTAGACCAGCCAGACGTCGTTCAGAGAAGCCACATGGTTGCTTACCCTGACATCACGAACTTCCTGTCCGTGGACTGCAGGATGAGGTCCTACGGATCTAGATACAGCGAGAGCAATTTTAGCGTGGATGACCAGGATCTCTCCAGGACGGAATTTGACTCCTGCGACCAGTACTCGATGGCCGCGGAAAAGGACTCGGGGAGGTCTGACGTGTCGGACATCGGGTCGGACAACTGCTCGCTGGCCGATGAGGAGCAGACCCCGCGGGACTGCCTGGGCCACAGGTCCCTGCGGACTGCTGCTCTGTCCCTCAAACTGTTGAAGAACCAGGAGGCCGACCAGCACAGCGCCAGGCTGTTTGTGCAGTCTCTTGAGGGCCTCCTTCCTCGCCTCCTGGCCCTGCCCAGCGTGGAGGAGGTAGACTCAGCCCTCCAGAACTTTGCCTCTACCTTCTGCTCAGGTTGGTAAGCAATGTTCGCTATATAGTCACCAGGAACACATTCTAGCCCCTGTCCCTTTTCTGGGGTATGGGGGAGTGGATGGAACTGAAAATCCCAAGATTCTAATCATGCCTTGGTCTTTATGGTGGCCAGGAACCCACCCAGAGTCACCTCATTAAACAAAAGATGCTCTTGGTTCTCGTATCACTTAGAAATTTACAAGGGTTTTAGGAGCCCTGTGGCAGGGAGGGGATCAACGACAAGTATTAGAATAAGGGATGCTCCTGGTATTCTTCTCACTTAGGAAATACAAGGGTTTAGGAGCTCTGTGCCAGGAAGTGCAGGAAAGACCAATGTACATATTTTTTATTATCTCGGTAGTACAGAAAGAAAGCAATTAATGGGGTGTAAAAATTTCTTGGCAGAAATAAAGGATTGTCTGAGCCCAGGATGGTCAACTATATCTCTCCCTAAAATTCAAGGGTTCCTTAACCATAGAATACTAAGGTGAAGCCAGAGCAAATCTTTACATTTGTGTTGCAGGGTTAAGGAATAAATAGTCTTAACAAAATTTTCATCCAACACGCTGGCATTTGTGGAATATGAACTTTGGAGAATATGGTAATTTAAAGACAAACTAAAAATCAAAAAATACACATCCAGAGATTATCTATAAAATACATTGGTGTCCTTTCTTGGAGTCATTTTCCAGCATTTATGTGTATCTGCAATAAGAATAGCTCACACTAACATAGCACTTCCTGAATGCACCGTGTTAAGAGTTTTACATTACACGTAATAATCAATGTAATGCTTAGAATAGCTCCAGAGGGTAGATCGTAGCATCCTCATTTTACAGATGAGAAAACTGAGGCAGAGGGAGGTTAAGTGGTAAGTTACCCAGGGTACATAGCTGCGAAGTGGGGATACCAGGATATCAACAGTCTGGTTCCAGAGACCATGCTCTTACTCATCACATGCATCACACCAAGAAGTGTGAGTGGATGGATGGGTGGATGAATAGCTGGATAAATCAGAGATGCTTTACCTCTGCAGTTGATTTGTCCTGGTGAAAAATCAATCACAGACTGAAAAACTGTAGCTCAGCCAATGTGAGATGGTTTTCCAAGACCTGACAGATGGGTACACATGGAAGCCAGCATGTCATTGACCCCTGGGAATCTACACTAAGGAAACAACTCCAGTAGAGACTGGTATACCAAAATGTATATGATAGTATCATTTCACAGCAAAAATGTTAGGAATAATCTAAAAGCTCCCAAATAAGGGGAAAATTAAATGAATACATTCATTTATATTATGTAGCCATTAAAAATTATGTTTTCAAATAATATTTAATGATATGGATAATGCTCATAATATAATTTTTTAAAGAATTCAAAATTAACATCAAAATGTTAATTTTTATCTCTGTTTTTCTTTGTATTTTTTTCAAAAAAAAACTAAAAAATTTTCTTATTACTTTTATCATCAGAAAATTAAAATCATAGACTTAAAGAAATCTGTTGTCAAGAAAATCATATAATGTGATTACAAAGGTTAAAAAAATTGATGCTTCTCAGTATGTTGAGTGGGTAGAAGAATATTCTTATGCATAGTGGGTAGGAAAAAAGATTGGTATAAAACTATTTGGGAGATATGTTGCCCATATCTATCAATATATGCCTTATTCTGTTCTTAGGAGTTTATCCCACAGATACCCTTGCAGAAGTACTAAAAGTTATTTTATCCTTTCAGCCCTTTTCGTAAAAAACATCTTAATGACAGAGTGAGAGAATGAACTTCTAGAACACTGGAAAAACAATAGCCAGAATAAGCTGAAGGTTGCAGTTCCTATAGTTTGCCACCCCAAATTTGAGGACTACTATTTCTTTTAGAAAAGTATATAATTATGAGTTACTGCACTAAGCATCCTCCATGCATTATTGCATCTAGTTCTCATAGCAAACTTGTTCTTTCACTCATTATTCATTCATTCAATGAATATTTTTGAGGCTCTCTATATGCCAGGCGCTGTTCTAGGCACTGGAGATTCATTCTCTAGTGAACAAAACTAACAAAGTCCCACCCTCTCGCAGATCTTACATAACAGTAGATAACAGTAGTGGTGGCAGACAATAAACAAATTATATATTAATATAATGCTGGGTAGAATAAATGCCATTGAGGCATTGGAAAAAATTCTGGGTGAGGAGGAAGACTATTGCAGGGAGAAGTAGGTGGAGAAGTGTTATTATAGATGGGGTGAAAGGGAAGGTCGCTGAAACCTGAAAAAATTGAGGGAGCAAGTCATCTAGAGATGTGGGGAGACCACTCTGGGACGCGGGGAAAACAAACGCAAAGGCCCTGGGGCCGGCACAGGCTCAGTGAGGTCAAGTAACACAGGTCAGCGTGGCTGTAGTGAGAAGAAGGAGAGGGGAGAGGGAAGTTGGGTTTTATTTTATTGTGATGGGAAGCCATTGAAGGCTTTGCGCAAGAGCTACATACAGTCAAATACTCGGCCCATTTATGGGCAAAAAGTTGAGATTTAGAGGGTCTTAGTGATTTTACCAAAGTAGCTGGTGAGGAGCACATAAAGATTTGCCCAGGTAGATGGACTCCAAACTGTATGCTCTGCCCCACCAGGCTGGGCATGTAATGTTCCCAAAAATATGCCTTGCTGGGTGTCATTGTTTTACAGATAGGTCCTATGCGATACATGTGCCTGTCACTAGGATTGCTTCCTGGCTGGCGGTAAGCAAGGCTTGCAAGTGCACTGCTTGCAGCCTCCAAGGTCCCCTGGTCCTCTCCCTCAGGCATGATGCACTCCCCCGGGTTTGACGGGAACAGCAGCCTCAGCCTGCAGATGCTGATGAACGGGGACAGCCTGTACACGGCAGCGCACTGCGCTCTGCTCCTCAACCTGAAGCTCTCCCACGGTGACTACTACCGGAAGCGGCCAGCCCTGGCGCCTGGCATGATGGTGAGTGTGCACTGTCCACCCTGACTCTGCGAGGACAAGCGGTGGCCTCTGGGCTGGACTGCTGAGCGTCAGTGCCCTGTGAGGCATGGTGCTGTGGAGGGCAGAAAAAGAGGTGAAGGTCTGTGCAGTGCAGTGGGCGCAGACTCACCCCCTTGCTCCGGAGAGTGCAGGACCCCAAGTGTCTGGAAACCGCTGTCTGTTTAATTTCATCTTGAAATTAACAGTGGCCCAGTAATTTCATCTGGTGGCACTATTCAACACACACATGACATGTTCCAAAACTAAGGTGACCAGACCGCTTTTGGCTGGACAGTCCCAATTTTTAACAATTTGTCCCCAGTCCCGCGGCGTTTTAAAAAAGTCCAGATTTTTGGAAAGAAAACGGGACGTCTGGTAACCTTAACCAAAACACATGATCAGCAGGTTAAGTACGTAGCAGCAGAAGACGTGCAGGGAATGGTCCCCTTTGCTGAAAATGAAGGAGTAGCTTTTACAAAAACTTTTCATTGTCTTCCAAAATGCCTAAACCTCCTCAGGTGATCCGGAGCTAAGCTTACTCATTGTCAACAACAAAGCTCCTCCCGTAGGGCATGGGGGAGAAGGATGGTGCTTATCCTGTGGTGGGATCTCCTGCCCCAGCAAGCCACTCTGTGGTGTGCCCTAATGGCAGTTCCTAAGCCTAATCCATGGAGCTGTGTGGACGGTATCAGCAGTCGTTTGTCTGCTTGATTAAGGGTAGGTTCCCAAGAATCAGTAGTGGCTTCATGGGTGTAAGTATCTCTTGAAACACCCATGAATTTTCAGAGGGCTCATTCCAGCTCAGCTTGGGCAGCAAGAAGCAGCACTGCTCTGTGCAGTTTCTCATCCTCCCACACATCAGAGAGTGAAAAATACAAAATGCCGTGTTCCTAATCCTTCAACAGGGCTTCTTAAAAAGATACAAATGAAAGGAACTTTGTGAAGTTTGGGACTTCACCATCTCCCACCTTCAATCAACAAGGTCTTGTTTTTCCTACAAGCATTGGTTCAGGGGACCTAGGGAGGGAAGAGACAGCGGAGGAGCCTGTTTGCTTGCAGAGGGTCCGATTTGGTCATTTTTCTCCTGTGATCGTCTCTGTAGAAAGAGTTCATGAAGCAGGTGCAGACCAGCGGGGTGCTGATGATCTTCTCCCAGGCCTGGATCGAGGAGCTCTACCACCAGGTGCTCGACAGAAACATGCTGGGAGAAGCCGGCTACTGGGGCAGCCCCGAGGATAACAGCCTCCCGCTCATCACCATGCTGACCGGTCAGTGGCCCCTCACACAGCTCCGTGCCACCCGGGTGGGAGGGCTCACCCTTCAAATCCCCTTTCAGAGCTGTAACGGTGTTTGGTTCCATCAGACCTTAAAACGGCACCCACAAGACTGCCTGGGCAGAGGGTGACAATTTGAGAGAAGGCTCATGAATTCACCTCGCAAGTGTGTACTGTCCTTTTTCCACGTGGGACTCTGTGGAGCTCACTGTGCCTCGCTAGATACGGACCTTACTTAGCACCTATGCCTATTGGTGAGAAACCTTAGGCCTCTTCTGGGAAATGAAGTTCTTTCTGGGCACAAAGCCCAGGATTATTCCTGGAAATTCTCATGTACTAGTAGATACAATTATCTGTATTATGCTGTATCCTTCAGTGCTCCTGGAAATTTGCCAATAATGTAAAATGATTGATTTTAAACTTGGCTTCATTCCCATTTCTTATCCATATCAGAGGCCCTCTTCTCTTTTCCCAATGGTACCAGAATTAAAAATAATATAAAGTAGCCTGGCCAGAGTGGCTCAGTTGTTGAAGCATGGTCTTGTGCACCAAAAGGCTGTGGGCTTGATCCCCAGTTGGGGCGGGGTACATATGGGAGGCAACTGATTGATGTTTCTCTCACATAGATGTTTCTCTCTTTCTCCCTTCCTCTCGCTCTAAAGTCAGTAAGACATATCTTTGGGTGAGGATTTTAAAAAATAATGTCAAGTAGTTGCCCAGCATCTTTGTCTTCAGTGTCCAGAGTTTTTAAAACCCTTCTTAACTATCAAAAATTTCACATGAGAGCATTGTAGAGTATGGTCATAAAGACATTTTTGGCAAAAGCAACCATTCATGTCATTGCATGGCTTAACCATGATGTCAGGTATAGGTCAGGGAGGGCTCAAAAGTTTGGTCTAGTCATTAGTAGCCTTGATAAATTAGTTCTCCAGGCTTGTCCTTTATTTGACCTGAGTTGCCAAACTGGTTTCTGAGCTGAGCAATGCCATCCTAGCTCCAGCTGATAGGTTATGTAGAGTGTGGCCCCACATAGACACCTTTCTGTCCTGTCTGTAGTACCACATGTCCTCACACAGCTTCCCGTGGTTCTGCTCCAGGTAGGGCACACTGACAGACTGGGCTGGGCAGCACAGTCCAGCTAGGAGGCAGGATCTGTTGTCTAAAGGCTGTGTTACGTCACCTGTGGTTGTTATGGGAAGTTCTGACAAAGGTTGTGGAGCTGTGCAATGGCAGGTGAAATGCAGCAATGAGAAATCTGGGGGTTCTTTAGGAATTAGGGAATCAAAGTATAGAGTGAGGTCTCTCTGCAGCAAGCAGAGTCCCGGTCATTGTCTGGTATTTGGAACTTTGATCCCAGAACTAGGATGGAATTTGGAGGAAGCAAGTCTAGGTCCTAAGCCATGAGACTCAGGATCACTGGAGCCATTTATGTTTTATTAATCATGATAACATTTACATCCATTTGAAAAATACAAACTCTTCAATATGTGAGACATTTATTCATTCCTCCCGTAAGTAGTCCTTGGTTTCCATCTGCTTCATAAACTCCCTTCAGTGGGGATTAAAGGTACTTCCCAGAGCTTAGAAGTGCTTTGGAATTTGGGTGGGGATCCTAAGCCTGCCAGGTTTAATTTTAAAAGACCATAGTTTCTGCCAAAATTAATCTCCTACCTGAACCTTAATAAAAGAAGTCATTCAGCAGATGTAGAAATGAACACATAACAAGCTATTCATAGTCACCATATTCATCAGTCATCACTGTTACCCAGCCATCTCTTTTATAATAGAACAGTAAGCTTAATTGCTATGTCCATAGGAAAGTTATCTTAGATTAATGATAGAAAAGCACTTTCCATAAGATTTAGACAAAATTAGGCTGTGTGACTCTTTTTAGAGAATTCCAATTATGAAATGACAAGTGAATTCAGCAATTAACCTAGAGTTTGGTTACTGTAGCAGCCATCTGATCATCAACACTGTCCTAACTGTGGCCATTCCTGATGTCATGTCCAAGGGTCCTATATAACCGTGGAATCTTGGTGATCAGATCAACTTGGCGTTACTTGAATTCATCAGTCCTTTACCTAGCACACTGGAAACATGATAACTTTGATAAATGGCCATTTCTGGTGAATATCATTAGACTGACCACATGACATATTAATTTCAGTGAAACTGATGTGTTCCCACTTTGGTTGTAATGTAGATTTTTCCCTGCCTTCCTCCCCTGATTTTATTGAGATATCATTGACATATGATACTGGGATAGTTCAAGATGTATACGTAATGATTTGATATATGTGTATATTAGGGGTGTCGAACTCAATCAGAGAAGGGGCCAAAATCTAAAATCCAGCCTAAATCGCGGGCCGAATGGTTTACTGAACAGTCATAAACTGTCATTGTGATGGAAACGCAGCGGAGTGCAGTGATGACAGCGTGGTGCGGGCCACATTGCAAGGCCTGGCGGGACGGATTTGGCCCGCGGGCCTTGTGTTTGACACATGTGGTGTATATTGTACAGTGATCACCATAATAAATTTAGTTTATATCAGTCACCTCAGGCAGTTACAATTTTTTCTTGTGATGAGAACTTTTAAGATCTACCTACCCTTTTAGCAACTTTCAAAGAGATTTGTTGCCAGAAGTCTGTAGGCTTCTTGGAGTCACTGTAAGACTCAAAAATACAATTAAGTCATTTTCAAACACCATCCTGTTGGTTTGATGGTGAAGTCCGGAAATAAACCTATGCTACTCTCTTTTCCATTGCATTCTACTGTGTTGGTTGCATTCAAGTACATATGCTTCCACTCCATGGTCACTTCCCTGATGCTTACTTCCTAATTACTGAGGAACTTGGGGCCCTGAGAACAGAGTACCTGACTCTATGCTACCAGGCTAACTTAATTCAGAGCCAAGGTTGAAGCCCAGCATTCTCAACCCCAAGCCAGTTTCTTCTTGCCAACATGTTAGGGATTGGAGTGTTGAGCTAATTTTGTAGATGTGAGTTTAACAAAAATGTAAACAAGGTGCATTAGGATCCCATATTGAGCTGGAGTTTGGTGTCATGGAGAGAGGCCTAGATGGGAGTCAGAAGATATGACTACTGAACCTAAATCCTTCCTTGACCAGCCTCCTGGCTTGGGCAATTTATCTACTTTGAGTATTTATTTCCTCCTCTTTGACATAGAAAAAGCAATACCTACTCTGCCCATATACCTGAAGTTGTTGGAAAATCTAATGAAAAAAATGTTGCGTCCTCACACATTGAAAATTGTAAAGTATTATTATTGTTAAGATATTATTATAGTACTAAGAAATCAGGTTATACAATCATTTCACCAAAGAGGTTTATTTTATTCTTCATGTTTATGAGGAAGCTCTGGAAGACAAATCTATGTTGAGGTATCATGTATATTTAAAACTTGGGGATAACACCAATGTTTTGAATATTGGTATTCAAAGATCATACTATTCTAAAAAAGAAATAGCAGTCTATCTTTTTTTTTCAATTAAAAAAAATATACAGCATCCTAAAGAAGAATGCTCTGGCAATGAAAGAAAACTATACTGAATGAAACAAAATTTTTAGTATTTTGATAAAAGGTTGCTGCATACTTGTTACATAACAGATCCAAGGGATGTTTATTGAGGAGAGGGGGGAGAAACTAAGTACTGTGGTGGCTGCTTGTTTTTGACTGAACTGTGCTGTTCAAGGAAAACGTTGCTGTTTTTCCTTGGCAGATATCGACGGCTTAGAGAGCAGCGCGATTGGGGGCCAGCTCATGGCCTCTGCGTCTACAGAGTCTCCCTTCACCCAGAGCAGGAGGATTGATGACTCCACAGTGGCAGGTAGAAGCCTTGAGTTTATGAATATACATACATCACATGTGGCACTAGCAATTAAACCATTATGGGCAGTTTCCAGTGCTGACATAAATGAATTAAGGTTTTGTCTTTGCAGAACAAGTGCCTGGTGGAAGTTACTTAGCATCATCCAGCTGACGATGGAGCATTCATTATTTATAAGCACAAAGTACAATCCACTAAACCCTATTTCCTATAGTAGAATCGCACACAGCTCAGCACTGCGATCTTGATGGTCAAAGAATCCCATGCTGTCATTCATTGCCAGGTTGTTTTTGTCTCCAATACATGACCCATTCCCCTTCACATTCTAGGTGTGGCGTTTGCTCGCTACATTCTGGTTGGCTGCTGGAAGAACCTGATCGATACTTTATCGACCCCCCTGACTGGCCGCATGGCGGGGAGCTCCAAAGGGCTGGCCTTCATTCTAGGAGCGGAAGGCATCAAAGAGCAGAACCAGAAGGAACGCGATGCCATCTGCATGAGCCTGGATGGGCTGCGGAAGGCGGCACGGCTGAGCTGTGCTCTAGGTACTGCCGGGAGGAGAATTTGTGGCCCACAGCCTGGGGGGTGTACTTGCAGAACACACTGGGAAAGGCCTAGTGGGAAACAGGTCTCTTAGGGGAGTTCTGCCAGGTGGATGGCTAGAGAACAGACTCAGTTAAGGGGTAACTTGTTTGTTTCCTCTAAAGGAGTTGCAGCTAACTGCGCCTCGGCCCTTGCCCAAATGGCAGCTGCCTCCTGTGTCCAGGAAGAGAAAGAGGACAAGGAAGTCCAAGAACCCAGTGATGCCATAGCACAAGGTAACAGCTGACAGGCCAGAGTCCACCTGGTGTCTTATGTGCGGTGTGCATACACATGCACCTGCAAGAGCAGGCACTCGTGTCCATTCTCTGTGTGATACATGGCATAGGTTTACCACTAATCATGAGATCCCACTGGGTTGTAGGCTTGGGTCTGTTTTATGGGGATGATCTAACAGACTTCTTACAGCAGAAGTGGGTATAAGGCCCACGAAATCCTTTGGTCTGGCCAAAGGGGTGAGTTAATTAAATGTTTGATCAAATATACCAGGCTAATTTTTAAGCTGGTAATTTTTTACAGCCCATGAATGATGTTATAAATATCCAAATGGCCCTTGGCATAAAATAGGTTCCCCACCCCTGGCTTACAGAGATCCCTCTGAATACCAAAGACATAATGGCCTCTGGCAATCAGGAAAATTCACTTGGCTGCTCACAGGTGTTGTGCAGGACCCCAGAGGTCCACCAGTGGAGCTCGTGAAACCTCCATCATCAGCTGGCCACTGGCTATGGCACTTCACAGAGTACACATTTGAGGACATTGTAAGTTACAGCACAGAAGGCGGAGTGACCCGTTTTCTGAAGGGGGATATCAAACAGATGGAGGAACTCTCTGAGAGGAGGCACAGGAAGACTGCTCTTTTGAGAAAAACTTGAGCTTTGTGAACTCAGAATAGAGTTGTTGTTTATTTAATCAGTTAGTTAATGAAGTGGGTGATTATCTAAATACTAGAGGCCTGATGCATGAATTCATGCACCAGTGGGTCCCTAGGCCTGGCCTACAGGATGGGCCGAAACCAGCTCTCCGATATTCTTCGAGGAGTCACGGATTGTGAGAGGGTACTGGCCAGGCCGAGGGGCCACAGATTGTGAGAGGGTGCTGGCCAGGCAGAGGGGCCACACCAATGCACAGTCGGGGCCTGGGAGGGTCAGTGGGAGGGCTCCAGGGCGTGTCCAGCCCATCTCTCTCAGTCCTGATCAGCCAGACCCCAGCAGCAAGCTAACCTACCGGTCAGAGAGTCTACCCCCTGGTAGTCAGTGCACATCATAGCAAGCAGTTGAGTGACCTTAGCATATCATTAGCATATTACTCTTTGATTGGTTGAACAGAAGATCAGATGACCGGACACTTAGCATATTAGGCTTTTATTATATAGGATAAGGAAAGAGGATGGCCTTCCTAATGAAAAAGATAAATGGCAAACAGCCAGCAGAAGGAAAATGGGAAGCTTGGTTCAATGTGTGCAAATGCTATGTATCAGGTATATAAAATAAGCTAGTGACAGGAACATTGGGCACATTTTTAAAAGCTAGAAAAATAGGCTGGCACTCTTCCTCAAACTTGAATGTTATATATAGATCACATGAAAGCAAAGCAGTGCTCACAGATCCCAGTATTAACTGAAAAAGGGTACCACAATTGTACTTGATATGTACAACCATAAATTATATAAAAATCCTTACATTTAAAGCCTTACAACTATAAAATGAACTAATATTAAAATTATATACAAATAAAAAAAAATCAATATCAGATCCATGTGACAAATGATGCTTTGCTGAAATTCAATTTGCTCCTTGCAGCAGGAATACTGTTTGACCTCCTCTGACATGAGCATGCTGTATTTCTGGATTCTGGCTCATCACACATTGTCCCACCAGGGCTGTCTTCCAACAATTTGACACCCTTATTCATGGAGAATGTCATCATTTGACCTTGTCTTGGCATTTTGCATAATTGACTTCTAAGTAGTCACCTTCTGCATCCTTTCTCATTAATGTTCTACAATTAAAAAATTATTACTTGAAGGACACAAAAATAAATGTAAACTCAGGGAATGAAATGCTATGGTAATTTACAGTTATAAAGCAGTCGTCATGATATTCAGAGCAGAACACATAGGTTGTTTTAGGTGATCATCATGAAGGCTTAGCATTAAATCTCAGAACTTGCAGAACATCAAGAATTCTCCCATGTTATTACTTTGAGTACACAGGGGCAGGGAAGAGTCTGGGCTCAGATAGCTTTAGCTGGGGTTAGCACATGAAGCCTGTCCTCACTGCTGTGCCTGATCCAGCCCAGGGGTGGGCCTGAAGGAACTGCACCTGCCAGCTCAGATTCCATCCAACTTCTTATGTCACAGAGCTGGAATCTGCAGTGTCTGTGGGGCCCGAGGGCTAGGGAGTTTGCATGATGAACCACAGGGACCTGCCATTGAGGAATCTGCTGCCAATGTTGTCTGCTGTTTCCCTTTCCCTTTGCCCTTCCATGATAGCACATTTCTTCCTCTCCATCCATTCTCTTTCCCTCTCTGTCTCCCTCACTCAGAATGCTATTTTAACGAATGTCTTTCTGGCACAGTGAAACTAAAAGTGGAGCAGAAACTGGAGCAGATCGGGAAGCTGCAGGGGGTGTGGCTGCACACAGCCCACGTCCTGTGCATGGACGCCATCCTCAGTGTAGGCCTGGAGATGGGAAGCCACAACCCGGACTGCTGGCCACACGTGTTCAGGTGCATGGCGGGACCCCCACCCCGCATGGCACCCACCCTGCCATGGGATTTTGGGGGTGATGGAAGGGGTAAACTCCAGAGTCGGCAGCTCTTAAACAGAGGGAATAGTTCAGAGTTTGGATAAACCCCAAGTGAGAGATTAAAAAAGAGAAGAGGGAGTAGGGGCCCAATTGAATGTATGTCATAGAGAACAAAGTGATAGGATTCAGGAAATTGTGAATAGATTATTGACATTATTTGAGGGAGGCAAATGAGTTTTATAAAGAAGGAAAAAACAATTTAGTAAATAGTGGATGATAAAAGCCATGTCAGTTAATGAATACGATGCGGATCTAACAGCTGGTCACATGTCAGCAATATAACATTGCTGTATGTTTGTTAATATCTTCTCTGTTTAAAGAAGCATGTTGGATAGCTTACATGGAGACAAAAAATTTAACAAGGGAGAGAGGCAGGGAGATGGCTATCCCCAGAGGAAGGAGGAAATTGGGGAGCACTATAGCACTAGCTGAATTTCCTTTGTGTCTCAGTGTGGGATTTGCAGAGCTGGTCCATTTGAGCTGTGACTTTTACCAGCTGCTTGTGTGTGACTCTCTCTAGGGTGTGTGAGTATGTGGGCACGCTGGAGCACACCCACTTCCGCGATGGCACCTCTCAGCCCCCCCTGACCATCAGCCAGCCCCAGAAGGCCCCCGGAGGCTCCGGACTCCTTGGGGACCTGGAGTGTGAAGGCTCGCCCCCGGAGCAGAGCCCAGAGCAGGAGAGCGCTCTGAGCACCGCCCCGGTCATCCAGCCCCTCTCCATCCAGGAACTCATCAGGGAAGGCAGCCGTGGCCGGGCCTCCGACTTCCGCGGGGGCAGCCTCATGACCGGGAGCAGCGCCGCCAAGGCTGTGCTGGCGCTGTCCACGCAGGCCGACAGGTGGGTGCGCGCCCCTCCTCCCCACACCTCACAAAGGCTGTTAGCAACATCCCACCCATCTCTTCTGGTCTCAGAATCACTCCCGGGACAACTGATTTGTTTACCAGTCATTTAAATCTCAAATTTTTTTTTTCCAAAAGTAGTTTCTGTCTCCTGCCACGCCCCGCACTTAGAAGGAGCTGTTGTCTAATGACTGCCTAGAGGCTCCGGAGGCAGGCTGCCTGGACTCCCTGGCTCCAGGCAACTTCACCCTTTCATCTTGGAATCGGGTCTTGAAGTAGCTCTCTACAGCGTAGCCACGAGGTTCAATTAATCAGGACCCTTGAGGCACTGAGGACAGAGCGTGGCAAATAGTAAAAGTCCACTATTTTTATGATAATTAATGTTTCAAAACCCCACACTCAGAGTGTGATCTGTTACTAAGTGATGCCCCAAAACCACACTAAATTTGAGAGGGAAAAATCAACAGTAAGTCCAACTGTGTGTTGACACTTTGATGTTGAAAGTGTTTTTGGTCACCAGTCACATGTTCTACCGCCTCACCTCACTCTCCAGACGTGGTGGTGGTGCCCAGACTACCAGCACAGGTGCAGTGGGGTTTATCGGGTGAGGACGGACAGCAGGGGAGTGGAGAGGGAGAAGAGTACCCACTGGCTGGGGTTCTGAACACCACAGTCTTTCCTGACACCAACCAACTGCAAGGTCATGCCTGTCTAAATAGTTGCACCGAGACTCCGTTTCCTGCTTCATCTACTAACCCAGTACCTGTACTAACTCAGTATCATAGTCCCCCTTTTTCCTGCTTATTCGACAAGGTGGCTGTGCAAGTATGTGGGGTCTGAATACAGCTGTCAGGTGGGACATAACATTCACCGCTGTTGCTTCTTACAAGGAGAAAGAAGTGGTTCGTGAGATACAAAGCCTAAATAGTATTAAAACTGGAATCACAAAAATAGCAAGAAAGATGTTTGCTACAATGGTTTGAGAATGATGAATTCACTGATTTGTGTCTCATATAACTCCTTCAAAGGGGGATTGTTACTTGGTTTCTCTTAGAGACACTGTCCCTCTCACCCAGCACGTGGCACCCCACTGGGCTGCTTGCCCTCCGGTGTCACGGCAGGATTGAAGGGCAGGCATTGGGGGACCCAGTGCAGTGGAAGGCTGGCTCGCCTCATTCCTTATGTGGCCACGCAGATCAAATTTGGTCCTAACATTCCGATCACCAGTGATCCTCCTCTCACCCTGCTGCCTGCGTTCACCCTTCCTCCCTAACTAGAATGCCCGGCTGAGTGGAAAGCAAGAGAGCCTTCAAGGTCCGTTATGTTAGGGAATATTCATTATCCCAGAAGATACTGGAGCTCCCACCGTGTCCTGGGCCCCAGGGTCTGAGTCGGAGGGGTAAGGACAGTCCCTGCGCTCAGGGAGCTTACTGGAACGGATCTCCTCCTCTTGTATCCTCAGAGCCATGCCCAGTGTTATACTCATCAATGTAGTCCATCAAAAGCCTTAATTCATTTGCTGGTTTTTCTTTAATTTAGCTTATTAAATGAAGCTAATTTTAAGGATTCCATCCCCAGTTGTTCATTTTCTAGGAGTGATACTTTGCCATCTTTCAACTTCTTGTCAATGTCTGAACTATGCCTTGGGTACCAAGATTCTTTTTAAATATGTCTGCTGTGCCCTTCAAATGAAACTCTCAGAGTTAGAGCATACTTTTACACAGTCATTAATGAAATAGTATACATTTTATTAATCACATCTAACAAAATTACCATAATCATTCTGCCATAAAGGCTTTGCTGGACTATTCCCAAGTGACATCTCTTTTTGTTTCACCCAGGCTCTTTGAAGATGCTATAGATAAGTTGAACCTCATGGCCCTGGGAGGTTTCCTTTACCAGCTGAAGAAAGCATCGCAGTCCCAGCTTTTCCATTCTGTGACGGACACAGTTGATTACTCGCTGGCAATGCCAGGTAATTCTCTCCCTGAAGAAACTGAGCCATGAGATAAGCAGGAGACAGCCCAGACTTCTGATACCAGGACCCTGCCTGCAGACTTCACTCCACACTCCCTTAGCACAGCCACATGGCTAACTTGTCATCTAGGCATGACAGGTGTGGGTAGGTAAGGGGTGGGATTATTCTTTGTGAAAGCCAATGTCGCTGCTGCCACTGTTAGACAGGTATTGCCACTGGACCTGGCTGGGTTCTGCTAAGTTTGGGGATTGTGATGATAGAGAAATTATATGGCTAGCCAGAGTGCAGATAGCTCTCATGAGGGTGGGAATCCTTCTCCATATCACAAACCACACCACTCGCCTCAATCCATGCAGAAGCCACTACTGATTCCAAACTGGACGGACTGAGAGAAAACGGGAAGGCTCAGCAGAAGCCTCATGCCACTCCTAGGAAAACCGCTCCCAGGGCACACCCTTTGAATGATGGGTCGCTGTCACTGTCTGCATGCAGGAGAGACCAGATAAAGGCCAACCTGTAGAAGAGGGAGTAGAATGGTACTGAATTGACTCCTGGTCTCAAGTGGGTAGCAGGCTGCTCCTAAGTGCAGCTGACTATCAGCTGCCAGGTGGTTGTGCTGAAACAGTGAGCACCTTGTCTCAATGAGTCCAGCAGAGGCACCGAGCCCTGTGGCAGGTTGGACTGCACAACCTCAGGCCCCTTCCATCTTTAGGAATCTGAGATTATATATTTGGCCTTTTGATCCTTACTGCGGATTCTAATTTGAGAACCACCGTCCTTTGCCCACTAGTTTTTTATAGACTTTAAAACCTTAGCTGTATAAAGCCAACCTTCCAGAATTTAGAACCTCCAGAGCATCTCTGAGCCCAGGGAAACCTTCTGAGTCCTTTGCATTGGAGAAACCAGCAGACGCTGAGCCTACAAAAAGCAATGAGCAGGGTCAGGAAGAGGTAACAAAAGCTGACCCAGGCAGAGGAAGCACTGGCCTTTAAATCAATCAGACGTGAGTCCAAATGCTGACTTTGTTATTTATCAGATGCATCATATCAGAAAAGTCAGCTCATCTTTTGGGCATCAGTTTACTAACCTGTAATATGTCAGTAATTACATTCACTGCTTGAGTTTTGCTTTCAGAATTAAAATGGTTAAAGAGGCAGCGACCCAACACAAGATCTGAGGCAGAGTAAGCATTCCATACGTCAGTGATTATTATTACTGTCATTTTGAAGTTTATTTGGTATGGCAAGACTTAATTAGTAGCATTTTGGTTGGAAGAGCTTATAAAGGGCACTCTGTAGGCAGAAAAGGGGAAGCAACAGGACATGAGCAAGAAGGGCGTGGGGAAGACTAAGGTAACAGTGGCAAAGAAGTAGCAAGCGATCAGAGTGGGCAAGGACGGTACTGAAGTGAAACACAGGCGACACAGCATGTTGTTGGGTGGCAAAGGGGCCTGACTTTCTTGGCAAGGGCTTCGGAGTTGCCACGAAGGGTCAGCCAAGTGAACGATGACCATGAAGAACGACAATCACAACAGTCTTGAGAACAGCCAGGAGTGTGGGTCAGGTAGTATGTGTCTGTATTAAGCACTTATGAGTATTGTTACTTTTAATCCTTAAAATAACTTAAAGAAACAGGTCCTATTATCACCACTTTTACAAGGAGAAACTTTGGACTGGAGACATAAATCACTGGTCCAATGTAACCCAACTACTAAATGGTGAAGAGAAGATTTGAGCCCAGGCAGCTTGACTCCCCAAGCCTCCTCCTCACCTACTCCGTCATCCTCCCTAATAGACAAGCACTGCTCACATTGCCATGGCCACCACTGGGAAGGTAGGGGTGAACAGGAAAGGTGTGTCTGGCCTGGTGGAGTGAACCTCCTCCATCTCTCTTGCGTCCAGGCTCCTCCTCTCTCCCGGCTACCACTCGCCAAACACTCCTGCTGGCCCGAGTACAGTTCTTTCCTTTCCATCCTCTCTCTGTGCTTGAATAGTCAAACTCTGAGTTTGGGCTTTATGGCTCCGATGGTCTTCTCTTCTTGTAGGAGAAGTGAAATCCACCCAAGACCGGAAGAGCGCCCTCCACCTGTTCCGCCTCGGGGACGCCATGCTGAGGATCGTGCGCAGCAAGGCCAGGCCGCTGCTCCACGTGATGCGCTGCTGGAGCCTGGTGGCCCCGCACCTGGTGGAGGTGAGTGCCAGGGCAGCGGGCAGCTCAGGGGCTCCTTCCGCAGAGCCAGCACAGGGGTCGCCAATCGGTGTGGGGCACAGAGCGCTGTGGCCACAGCGCAATGAGAAGGTTCCCATCATCTGGCCACAGCATTATAGTTCTGTGGTTATACCTCATGGCATCTGAAGCGTCGCCCCAAAGGTCAGCACTGCCCTGGACTCATCCTGACCACTTTACAGTTTGGCAAGGTGCCTTACACAGCCAGCTTTCATTCTTTACGAACCGGTGTCAACCCGAGTCTGAAGCTTTATTCTTATACACGACTATCACAATGCCTTTTGTTCCTGTCAGTCTCTCCCTTCTAAGAGCTAACTATATTCTGGGCAGTACCCTCTAAGTAGGAGAACCATATGTAGTTTTCCAACAGAATTAACACTGGGGACCCCCTTCACTCTCCAAAGGAAAGCAGTGCATGTGATAAATTTTATGGCAACTCACCATCTCGGTACATGATGACTGGCTACTGCGAAGATGGCGGGAAAATTGTTGCCCTGTTTTACAATAACTATTCTTAGCAGCTCTTTAGTGCCTATCTGGTAGAGGTGTCTTATCTGGTAGAGATATTTTGGGAGCTTAATTCACTAACCTGAGAACATTCTGGTAAGGAAAGGGAGTAGAGAATAATTGCTTAGTTATGGCGAAGCAGTATCTCAGTTATCTATTACACTTTAATAAAGCATCCCCCAAACAGAGTGATTTAAAACAATATCCACTTAGTTAACTCAGGATTCCCTGCATCAGATATGTGAGCTAGGCTCAGCTGGCACTTCTCGGGGCTCAGCCAGGCAGGTCAGATCTCAGCTGGTCTCACATGTCACCCGTGGCCAGCTGGTCCATGATGGCCTTGACTTGGACGGCTGGACAATGGGCTCTCTCCTCCTCCAGAGGACTAGCCCCAGATCGTTCTCGTGGCATTTGTAGAATTCCAAAGGAAAGCAAGAGGGCAAATCCCAAATCACAATGACTCTTCAGCTCTCCACTCCTAAAAGAGTTGATATTGTTCAAAGCAAGCCACACATCCAAGCCCAGGGGGAGGGATAGGAGACTACTACAGGGCCTGGATACAAGGAGCTCTGGCCAATGAGAGCATTATTGGTGCAGTTGCCGCCCCTTATCCCCCACCCCCGCCCCCCTGCACTGAGGGACAGATGATTCCTCTGATCGTTCTGTGTTTGGGGCACAGCTAACAACGAGCCCATGGGCAGCTCTGGTGCCTTTATAGTCAGCATGTTCTACGTCACCGAGCAAACTGTCCTGTTACCTAAAAAAAAGAAGAAATTACTAGATACTCTCTGTTTCCTAGAAACATTTCAACGACATTGAAGTTGTGTCTAAGCAGTTTGCTAAATTATTAAAAATACAATTTAGTGTGCTGCTCATCTGTCCGTGCCCCCTGAAATGTTTGTTACTGTGACAGAATTGCTGCCTAACTCACCTCATTGCTCCCTGCAATGAGGTGAGTTAGGAAACCATTTGGAAACCAGATTCTTATTTGCCTGGAGTTCTGATGGTGTTCTCTTCTCTCCTGAATTTGCAGGCTGCCTGCCACAAGGAAAGACATGTGTCTCAGAAGGCTGTCTCCTTCATCCATGACATATTGACAGAGGTCCTCACGGACTGGAACGAGCCACCTCATTTCCACTTCAATGAAGCCCTCTTCCGGCCCTTTGAGCGGATTATGCAGCTGGAGCTGTGTGACGAGGATGTCCAAGACCAGGTCAGTGTGTCTCTGTAATCAGCTTTGCCATCATCATTGCATCCAGCTCTTACTGAGTGCACTGGCAGGCGTTGTTCTATGAATTTAGCATGTTCACCTTTCCACTAATCCTATGTGGAATCTGTGACAAATAAAGGTGAATCCACTTAGCTGATGATACATGTTTAGTGCTTGGTGGAACTGGGACTCAAACCTATGCAATCGGGTTATACTGGTCTATGCTCTTGTGCCTAGTCTATATGAATTGTCTCTTTGAAATCTAAATATGTTAAATAAATACTTAAGCCCTAGCCTATTTGGCTCTGTGGATAGACTGTCCGCCTGCAGACTGAAGGATCCAGGTTCGTTTCCAGTCAAAAGCATGTATTAGGTCTAGTAATAATTAATGTCGTTTTCTAATACTTTTTTAAATCGAATTTATTTAAACAATACAACAAAATTTAATCAACAATATAGTTGCCGTTGTTTTCTACTACTTGTGCCCAACGCTCAGGAAGCATTTTAATCCCTCTGTTGTAAAATTCTTGTGATTTTGATGCAAAAAATTCGGTCAATGCATTTTTGAGGCATTCTTCATTATTAAATTTTTTTCCAAGAAGAAAGTTTTGCAAAGAACAAAACAAATGGTAATCGGAAGGGGCAATATCAGGAGAATATGCAGGTTGAGGGAGAACTTCCCATTCTAACTGGCGCAGTTTTTCAGCAGTGATTCTTGCAGTATGCGGTCATGCATTATCATGGTGAAGAATTACGCCCTTCCGATTAATCAGCACGGGTTCTTTTTCTCTTAAAGCTTGGGCTAACCTTTCCAATTGGGCACTATACACTGCACTTGTAATGGTTTGGTTAGATGGTAAAAGTTCATAATGAAGAATTCCTTTAAAATTCCACCAAACACACAACATCACTTTTTTCGCATGCAAGTCAGGTTTTGGCGTGGGCTGCGGAGCTTCATTTTTGTCCAACCATTGAGGCCGCCTTTTCAAATTAACATACAGCACCCATTCTTCATCTCCGGTAACAATTTGCTCTAAAAATGGCAAACGGTTTTGAGGAGAGAGGAGCGAACTGCAAATTGTGACTCTTTGATTATGGTTGTTGTCGGTCAACTCATGAGGAACCCATTTTCCAAACTTTTGGACTTTGCCAAGTGCACGCAATTGATTGGAAATTGTTTTTTGTGAACAATTTAAAGTTGTCACAAGCTCTTGTTGGGTAATTTGAGGATTTTGCACCAAAAGAGCTTGAAGAGCTTCTTGATCAAAATTGGACACACGGCCTTGACCACTCTTGTCATCTAACGAAAAATTTCCCTCGCGAAATTTCTCATACCAACGCTGGCATTTTCTGGCGCTAACTGCATCTTGACCAAGAGCACTACAGATGTTTTTTTTGCAGCCTCACTTGCTTTTCTTCCTAATTGGAACTCGTAAAGCATGCAGTGCCGAATATGCTCTTCATCCGCCATCTTCTTAGCCCTAGTTTTGCAACAAAAACCAAACCAAACACAAACTTTTTCAAGCAAAACTTGTTAATTGCACTTCACACGTTCTGTAGATACCACGTGTTTGAAGGTTATGTCAATACAAGTCAACGCCAAGCAAGATTTTAAACGAATGTTTAAAAACAACATTAATTATTACTAGACCCGATACTTCAATTGCAGGCTCCTTCCCGGCTGGAGTCTTGGTTGCAAGAGGTAACCAATCGATGTGTATCTCTCACAAGGATATTTCTTTCTGTCTTTCCTCTCTCTCCCGCTCACTCTAAAAAATATGGAAAATATCCTTGGGTGAGGATTAAAAAGAAACAAAAAATGATAGAAGACTTAAAATTGTTTTTAAAGACATTGACACTCTGGCAAGAAAGTAAAGAATATTAAGATGCCCACAACTAAGTAAAAACTGGAAGCCACAGAAGTGAGCAGAGCTCTAAGACTGGGTTTGCCTTGACAGAATTTGTCACTAGGTGAAACTAAGTTCTGCTATCACTTTCTTGAGGCCAGAAGAACAGGAAAAAAAAAGAAAAGAAAAAAAAAAGTTTAATGCAAATCTTTAAAACTGGTGTCATTCAGATCAAGGTTGGATTAGAAATGAACCCAACCTCTCTGAAGATAAGATCAGCCTGTTTCTAACACTGGCATTTAGTAAAGATTAAAAATAATAATAACTCTCCAGGATTAAAATCACAAACCAGCCATTCTGTGGGGGTCAGTGCGTGAAAGTGCACCACCTGGTGGTCAGAGAAACTTTGCACCGACACTGTACAGAGCAATTTCCATCAAAATCCAAGCAGGCTTTTTAAAGATATTGGCAAGATGATTCTCAAATTTATATTCATATTCAAGGGATCTGGACTAGAGAAAAACAGATTTGAAAAAGAAGAACAGATTTGAAAAAGAAGAACAAATTTGAAAAATTTACCCGATTTTGAAACGTCAGTAGTCAACACAGTGTGTTATTGGTATAAGGATAGACTCATAGAACGATGGAACTTAATAGAGCACACACACAAAAAAACAGTCTCACATTTATGTTCAATTAATTTTTTACAAACATGCTACTGGAATTCAATAGAAATGATGTTATTTTCAACAAATAGTGTTTGAACATATGCAATAAAAATAACCTACACCTTTACCTCAACATATACCAAAAAAAAAATCTCAATATGGATCATAGGCTTAACTGTAAGAGCAAAAACTATAAACATTTCTAGGAGAAAGTATAGGAGATGATCTGTTAGACCTTGGATTAGGCAAAGATTTCTTATAAAGGATACCAGCATCATCCATGAAAAGAAAATGTGATGATGCTCACTTCAGCAGCACATATGAAAACTACAACAAAACAGAGATGATTTCCCCTGCTCAAGGATGACATGCAAATTCATGGAACTCTCCATGTTTTGTGCAGTTTCCAAGCTTCCTTACCATCCTTTGCTGATTAACATAGATACACACACACACACAATTTTTTTTTTTGATGAATTGGGCTTTATTAAAACTTAAAACTCTTGCTTTTCTAACATCATTTAAAAATAAAGACAAGCCCGAGGCTATGAAAAGGTATTTGCAAATTACAGACCTCAGGAAAGATCTGAGTCTAGAATACATAAAGAATTCTAAAAATAATTTTAAAAAGATAAGGATGAGAAGACAAAGACCCAATCTAAAAAACAAAACAAAACAAAAACAGTAAAATATTTATAAATGGCTAATAATAAGCTTGTGAAAAGTTGCCCAGCAACCTGAATCATTAGTAAAATGCCCATTCATGTAATATGACTGCTTATTTGGGTGATTTTTGCATGAGTTTGCCTGGGTTCTGCTCTTCCTCTTTCACTAAAATTAACCCAGAAATAGGGAGCAGAAAGACATCCCCCTTCCCAGAAATCCTCCTGCTCCTTGGAAGAGAAGGGTTTAATGTGCCACCTTCTTTGCCTCTGCCAGGTCGTCACATCCATTGGTGAGCTGGTTGAAGTGTGTTCCACCCAAATCCAGTCGGGCTGGAGGCCCTTGTTCAGCGCCCTGGAGACCGTGCACAGCGGGAACAAGTCCGAGGTGAAGGAGTACCTAGTGGGCGATTACTCCATGGGTAAGCTAGTGTGTGGGTATTGTTCCCTGGAACTTTACTGAATTCCTTTATTGGTTCTAACCAACGTTTGTTCGAGTCTTTTAAGACTTTCTGTATAGAAGACCATGACCTCTGCAGACAGAGAATTTTACCTCTTTCCAATTTTTCTTGCCTGATTGCTCTGGAGAGGACTTGAGCAGGAGTGGTGACAGTGGGAAGGATGGGGGCTGATGTTTGCCATAGAGCATTCATTCTTTGAACCCAGTTTCGTGCAATCAAAGCAGAGTGAACAATAGGGAGGCCCGGCATGCAGCCGTGCTGTATCAGCAGGAAATAAGCTGGCGTTGCAGGGCGCAGAGTTCTGAGTTCTGCCAGCAGGTGAGAGCCCGAGCATCTGCTCTTACCGATTGGACGAAAGACAAAGAGACTTATTGTTTTCACTTGAACAGATCTGTGCTGAGCTAATGCCTAAAGCCAAAATGAAAAATGTTATCCACTTGCTAGAAAGAAACAGAAAACTATCATAACACAGGAGGCTGGGTCTGGATGGAAAAGGATGGGCACCCCGAGCGCATGCCCAGCAACCAGGGGTATTGTGTCGGGGTCCCCAAGACCACCCCCACATTCAGAGACCCACCGGAAGGACTCAGCAAATAACCACGCTAAGATTTATTACGTGGCCCAGATTTATTCCGTTATTCACAGCTAAGAAGCAGGATGGCAGCATAGGAAGGATAAGCAGATTACAAGGGGGAAAGACAGACGGGATCTGGGGAAACCCCTGTCAGGCTCTCACCCTCCCGTGAAGAGTCCCACGGAGCACACTTTTACCCCAACAGTGAAAAATGCAGCAATACGATATAATGCTTCAGCCCAGGAAAGTGCACTAGAAACCCAGCTGAGGGTGGTCCCAAGAGGTACCTTCCGCCTAGCATACACCAGAATTCCTGACTCCCCAAAGGGTAGCAGGTGTTCAGAATAAACCACACTGTTTGCACCGTCTAGCCACGGTGAACTGCCTTCATTCGTTAAGTGTTGCCCAAGAATATTCTGTGAATCAAGTTCCCAGACTCCAGCCAAGAGCCAAGCTTGCAAGCAGGCCTTACAGGACAGCAGTCTCGGGCCTCCTGTGTTAATTCTTTCCTGCACATGTATGAGTAAAGTAGTATACTCCATCGGGGGTTTATCTAAACCTTCCCTTCTCTAAAATCGCATGTGCAGGGGCCCACGTTTCACTGCCCTATAGACTGCACATTGCCTCAGCCCTGCATAAAGCCAGCTTTGCTCCCTCTCTACCCTGGGCTCTCTTTGTAGCTCTCCTGCAGCTCCCCCTGCAGGCCAAGCTAAGAAGCACAGCATCGGAGCCAGGCCAGCTGTCCCTTCAAAAGGCACTGGCTTTTCTTCAGAGTTTTCTAAGGCCCTGGGGAAGGTGCCGGGAGTTTGGGCTACCTGAAGGGTAGAGACTTAACTTCCTTAACATTCTATAATCTTCCTCCCTCAGGGAAAGGCCAAGCTCCAGTGTTTGACGTATTTGAAGCTTTTCTCAACACCGACAACATCCAGGTCTTCGCTAATGCAGCCACTAGTTACATCATGTGCCTTATGAAGTTTGTCAAAGGGCTGGGTAAGTGGAATCCTCCTTCTGTGCCTTGTAACAGCTGGGGACCCTTTCCTGCATGGCCTTGTATGGAAAGCCCCAGAGACAGGCCCTCTGACTGCCTGGAGCGAGCCGGCAGCTTGGGGCGGGAGCAGATGGTGTGTATGACTGTGTCCACGGCTGACATATTTCATTGTGTTCATGGAATAATCTGGTAATGGAGTATGTTTCCTATTACTTCACAGACCGCTGTTTTATTTAAGAAGCTCTAGTTCTGGTATTCTGTTGTTCAGTAAAAAAAAAAAAGTGGAGTGCCTGCTCCCTGGGCGTGGCAGCCTGTTCGTACTGTGGGACATAAAGATGAATAAAACATGCTTCCTGCCCAGGAGACGCCCTGGGAAACAGACACACAAATCAATAATTACAGTTTAGTGAGACAAATATTTTCATAGAAGCTCGTAAAGAAAAAGAAAAAAAAGAAAGAAAAGCCATTTAAGCTGAAATGAACAGACAGTGGAAAGGAAGAACAGCTCCAAATTTCTTAAAAGGACTGATATTACCCAGAACTGGATATCCAGGAGGAGAGCAGGTCAGTGTGGAGGACAGGACTAAGTAATGAAGTCTAGCTCTGGGCATTTGGACATGTTGACTTGCAGTGAAACATTCGAGTGCAGATGCTTCTCTACAGGTTAGAAATTTGAGACTTTATCTTAAGGAGTTGAGACCTGAAAATAGGATCCAGGATTAGCAGTGTGCAGATGGAGAATATTTAAAACAGGTAGGTTCTAGTTCTTTCTGTGAATTACAAGGTGGAATTACTAGTATTGAGCTGGGGATGGATATTGGGACCATCTGAGACCCCAGAATGTTGGCTGGGTGCTGCCCCTGGCTCCAGGGGGTGCCATCTGTATAGCCTTTGACTTTGAAATACTCACTGTACAACAAACTAGGAAATGAATTTATTTTTAATTCCCACTTGGTTATTTCCACCTGAACTTGGCATAGTCTGTGTTTTAATCCTGTAAGGTGTGTTCATCTAAACCAGGAGTTTGCAAACTCTGGCCCACAGGCCAAATTCCAATCACCAATAGTTTTTATAAATACAGTTTTGTTGGAGCCCAGCCACGGTCATTGGTCTGTGGCTGCTTTTGTGCAGCAGGGGCAGGGCTGAGAGGCTGCAGCCAAGGCAGTCTGACCCGCAAAGCCTGGAGCAGGGGTCCTCAAACTTTTTAAAGTGGGGGCCAGATCACAGTCCCTCAGAGAGCTGGAGGGCCGGACTATATGAACTACTAATTCCTACTGTAACACCTCGGCTGCGCTCACTGCCCAAAAAACCTGGCGGGCCTGATCAGACTCCTCTGCGGGCCGCATGTGGCCCTCAGGCCGTAGTTTGAAGACCCCTGGCCTGGAGCATTTCCTGCCTGGGCCCCGCACAAAAACGTTTGCCAATATCCAAAACGTAAGAAATGTTTGTCTTTTCTAAGGAGAACATGCCTCTTTGTCTGCATCTGAATTTTAACTAATGCCTAGTAATTATGTCAGTCTACTCACAGGGGAGGGTGCTAGTTGCTACAATTATAGACAATTAGAAACAATTACAGTACTGTGCAATGATTTTATTAAAAGTTGAGAAATAGGTTCCTTACATGAGAAGAAAAATTATTCTCAACTATTGTTTGCCTATAGAAAATCTAGAAACCCTCTACAGATCTGTAAAAAAGGAAAAAAAAACAAACGAATTTTATTTCAACTTAATTACATAGCCTCTATCCCCAAACCCCAGATGTTCAGAATCTTCCCAGAGCTTCATTTATCATCGCTATTTAGTGCTGAGCACCGGCAGTCACATGAGACCCTTTTCCAATGGCGTCCGGGATCATCCCCATCAGAGCTTCAGAAGTCGCACCCTGAGCAGTGGGGCCCAGGGCGGGAATCCGAGTGCCCAGGGACAAGTGAATACTGTTCGGCCACTGCCAGTGCCCGGGCAGGATAGAGAGAAAGTGCCCATTGTTTAGTCAAAAGAGGAGTTACAGTACAAAATCATCTCAACCACATAAGATGTGTGGTATGATCCTGTGTTTAACATGTACACATACATGCAGGGGACAGAATGAGTGAAAGGATTTCTCTCCGGTACACGTTAATTTAATTTTTTTTTTTTTTGGTCTGTGTTAGTAGATACTGGGTGAGTTAATGCTGTGCGAGTAAACAGGTCTTCTGCTGTCAGGGCATAAACAAGGATAACTTTGTCTCTGTCCCCCAGGGGAGGTGGACTGTAAGGAGATCGGAGACTGTGTCCCGGGACCAGGAGCCACTGCCCCCGACCTGTGCCTCCCTGCCCTGGACTACCTCAGGCGCTGCTCTCAGGTACAGGGTTGCTCATGCCAAGTCCCAGGCCCTGGAACCTGCCTCTGGAGATGCTTGTGTCAAAAGACACGTGTGGGTGTGTTTGGCTGAGGCCCAGGAGAAGCCCTGTCTACGGTCTCTGAGGCGATGGGGACTTAGGTTTGGAGCATAAGTGTTTGACCCCACCCGTGCCACGAAGGAGAGAGAGAAAGTGATAACCGTGTCCTAGAACATAGTTGGACTCCAAGATCTCTGGCGCTTCTCATTTATCCTCAGATGAACGACCATCATTTCTATATGTCAGGCTGTAGAGGGAGGAGTCATGAGGTCCTGGGAGATCTTCCTTATACACCAAAACGGGGAAAGGGGGGGGGGGAGAGGGGTGTGCAGCCAGGGAGGACAGACACAGAAAAAGGAAGAGGGGTGTTATTCAATCAAGCGCTAGTCGGCAAACACAATAAAACATCACCTGTCATATGGGCAGTGACCTTAATTTTGCTCAGTTCAATAACGCTCTGTCCTTACCCATGTCCAGTGCCTGTGGAACAAGGCGGCATCCTGTCCTTGAGGCCCTTCCTCCTCTGGGCTTCGGTGACACCTCTCTCAGATACTCTCAGATAGATTTTCTCCCGTCTTCTCAGCTTGTGTCCCCAAGGCCCCACGTGACATGACTCCGGTTCTATTTCCATCTCAGAACCCCTCCTCTCACTCACTGTGCTCCAACCACTCTCCCCCTCTGCCCCTCACATACACCCCGCTGACTACACCCAGGGCCTTGCTGCTCTCTCTGCCCGGAATGCTTCCTCCTCAGATCTCTGTATGACGCCCTTATCTTCCAAATCTCATTGGGAACATCGCTGGTCAGAGAAACCAGGCCTTTGGCATCTACCAACTCCCTGCCAATGTGCCCCACACAGCTTGGTCACTTTCTGTAGAACCATCTGTCTAACGTTCTAACATTTACGTCAGACATTTTATTATTTCTGCAAAGATTCTTGTCTGTAAGACCCATAGGAAAGGAATTTTGTCTATCTTTCTCACAGCTGTTTCCCTGGTTTCTAGAACACGATGGTCATAGCAGGCCGGATTGTAATTTGTGAAGGTATACGGACCTTTGGCAGTTTCCGTAGTAGACACCCCTAGGGGACCTGGCTCAAGTGGAGAGAGGGGAGTAAAGAGCCCAGGGTAGTGTCTTCTGTTCCTGGTCTTGGTTAGAGTTTCTTCATTTCTCCATTGCCCCCTGTGTCTGATGAGGGATCATGTGAAGGAGAAATCGAAGTCTGGTGGTATCTGATTTGCCTGCAGACTCTCTTCTCAGTGACGCCATAGAACACCTTCTCCCGTAGGCAAAAATTCTTGACATGTGACATGGTTCCCTTAGGTTCATATGAATCTTTAAAACTCATAGGCAATTGAGATGCTGCAAAAATATTCATTGTTTTTTTTCCTCCTCTACCTTTTTGTTGCTATTGAATGCTATTTCATTTGCTTCCTGGGATAAATGCCTCCTACAAGAAGCCAAATTACAACCACTCAACTTTAAACCTTTCATACAGTGGCAGCTTTTCTCTCCCCTTTCGATAACTAGTATATAACTTTATTGTTTTTTTAAAGCCCTGAGTGTAGCTTTTTCCAATATATAACTGAATTTTTTTTTTTTTTAGTTATTGGCCAAAATCTACAAAATGCCAATGAAGCCAATATTTCTTAGCGGGCGACTTGCTAGCTTGCCTCGAAGACTTCAGGAGCAGTCAGCAAGCAGTGAGGATGGCATCGAGTCGGTCCTGTCTGATTTTGATGATGACACGGGTAAGTTCATCGATTAGACTAAATCAGGTTATTGGCTGTGTACATATTCTCAGAAGCTTAAGCCATGAATTAAGTAGCTTACAGATCTTGAATGATCATCCATTTATGTTGTTACTGTTTATGATTCTAACAAGTCTACCTAAAAGTTTCTATGGGTTCTCCAAACACATTTCACGGTTGATGCCTCCATCTAAAAACAGTGCAGATTCTGCTAAATATGATTTCTAACTTTGACTTTCTTGAATTTAGCACTTTGGAATGTGGTTGCATTGGGGCATTGGTACTTAAATTGGCTGGTAATTGTCTTTAATTCCTTCTAGGAAACACAATCATTATATAATTACTTCCTGCAGGACTATTTGGTTAGAAACGGGAAATTATGCCATTACTGAAGAGAGAATCTATTTGTGACAGGAGAAGCTAAAGACTCATTAAGAGAATAATTTTAAAGAATACGTTCCAAATTAGTTCCCATGTACTTTTCTGTGAATTGGAGTTCCGTCTAGTAGCTTTGGTTTATTTTCAGACCGGCTAACTCATGCTCCAACTTGATGACACTGTTCTGTTTCTAGATATTGAAATGGAAATGATATCCTTAAAGGGATCTGATATCTGTGAATGGGTTTTTTCAAACCCACACAAAAGACTTTTTAGGGGAGGCTTCTTAAATTTGCTTTTGTGTTTGTTTTACATTTTGCTATTACAAATTCAGTTATGGGGGTTGCTAGAAGATTTACAGTTTTTCATAGAGATTAGAAAACCTCACTAGTTCAGGCTATTTATGAGAAAGAACTATAGGAATAACTAATGGAAAGGAAAAATACTGGAAACTGGCTACATGTTGCTTAATAGTTCATTTAATGGTTAGATTAGCATTGTAAACCTCCAAAATCAGTTTGTATTCAGAGTGTCCCAAAAATGTATACACCACTTTGAATAATTAATTATAAAGGCAGTTTTTATTAAAATACATTTCTTTTTCAAAATTGAGCTATCAGCATTAAAGTATTTATACATTTTGAGGGGGACACCTGTATCTAACAGTGGGCATTCCATTTTCATGTATGCAAATCATTAATCGATTTTTTTTTAAGGCAGTCCATCTTTTTAGTTTAGTTTAGCCAAGCACACACAAAGTTTCCCACAGTATAAATTTATAGAAGGTTTTAAAGTTATAATTATATAGGAAATATAGCTAAATCAGAGAAAGGAATAAAAGTAAACACTTTAAGTTAGTATTAGCAATTCTCACTATTTATATATTCTGAGATATTTCTCTAGTTTTCAAAGGCAAATAATTATTTTCCCCCTATGGAAATTTTATAGACATATATAAAACTAGACAGAATGGTATAGTGAATCTTCATATACCTTTCACCCAGCTTCAAATCTAAACTTATAGCCAACCTCACCATCTTCCTCACCCCTACCTATATCCTCCTTTCCATATTATTTTAAAGCAAACCTGAGACATTAGTATGTTTTCTTTAAAGATAATAACCATAAAGTTATCACATTTAAAAATCAACAGTCACTCTTTACTAACATCAAATATCTATTGTGTAAACTTTCCAATTGTCTTATAGATGTCAGTTAATTTTTAGGATTCACATAAGATCCATACTATATCTTTGGCTGACATGTCTCTTAAATCCTTTTCAATCTATAGATTTCTTCTCTAACTTTATTTAATCCCTTTTCAATTTATTTGCTGAAGAAGTGAGGTACTTTGTCCTGTAGAGTTTCCTACTGTGCTGTGTAACATGTTTTTCTGTCCTCTGAATTTCCTATAAATTAGTTTGTCCATACCTGCTCTTACAGGGTGGGGCAAGAGTAGGTTTACAGTTGTTCATTTAGAAAATAATGCAATGCTATATAATAAAAGCCTAATATGCAAATCAACTGAATGGCAGAATGACCAGTCACTATGATGCGCACGGACCACCAGGGGGAAGGTGCTCAATGCAGGAGCTGCCCGCAGGCCAGCTAAGGTGGGAGCCAGTGGGGATCCCACTGGTCACCTCAGATTGGCCTTGATCGCCAGCCAGGCCTAGGAACCCTACCCATGTACAAATTTAATGCATCAGGCCTCTAGTAATAAATAAATAATACAAGAATAAATTCCATGTTTCAGGTACTCACAACTATAAACCTATTTTTGCCCCAACCTGTATTTTGAGGTTCATAAGATTTTCTTATAACCTAGTTTTATTATGTTTTTTGTCCATGATTTTTTGGTTTTGCCTCCTGTTAATAGGTATTTTTAAAACTAGGGAAAGAGTGTGTTTTTTTTTTTTTTTTCAAGGAAACACTTTATTGATTTCAAAGAGAGGAAGGGAGAGAGAAAGAGAGAAACATCATGATGAGAGATAATCCATTGACTGGCTACCTCCTGCATGCCCCCTACTGGGGATCGAGCCCACAACCTGGGCATATACCCTTCATTAGAATCAAACCTGGGACCCTTCAGTCCATAGGCCAATGATCTATCCACTGAACAAAACCAGCTAGGGCAATGGAAACATTCTTGAAGTGCCATCTTCTGATGCAGTTTTATTTTGTAGAAAAATTTGAAGTATTGAAATTAAAATGTAGAGTCGGCCGTTTTTTATATTCTACTCTAGTCCTTTTCTGCACAGCTTTCTGAGCTATAGGTCCACATATTTCCAGACAGTGATGTGCAGAAACGTTGGCTCATACAGTGCTTGCATAAATTACAGAACTAAAATTATTTGGACCTAGTAGAAAGAATTTCATGTTTTCTCTCTCACTCAGTGATAGGCAGCACTAAGAGTATGTTATTTTAAAAATGAAACTCTGAGAAGAGAAGAAAGAGGTGAGTTGTGTACTGAGGACAGATGAACCTACTCACACTGGGTGCATCATTCTCCCAGCTATGCGTAATATACACAGTGGTTTGTATGTGCACAGGAGTGAGAGGATGCCAGAAATGCAAACTGCCGTGTGGACAGGTAAATTTAAACTAATTTATAGATAAGAGCAAAGATAGACTAGAACAAGCAACAAGAGAGAAAAAAACAGGTAACTTAGACTTCAAAAGCATCAAAGGACAAGACTAGAACAAGCAACAAGAGAGAAAAAAACAGGTAACTTAGACTTCAAAAGCATCAAAGGACATTATCAAGAAAATGAAAAGACAACCTAAAGAATGGGAGCACATATTTGTAAATCATAGTTCTGGTTTTAATATCCAGAATATATAAATAATTCCTAAAACTCAACAACAAAAAGATAACCCACTGTAAAAATGGGCAAGGAACAGGAATAGCTATTTCTAAAAAATAAAATAAAAGATACATAGGCCATCTGCATGAAAAGAGGCCCAATAATACTTAGTCATTAGAAAAATGTAAATAAAAAATATTAGTTACACTTCCTAGGATGGCTATAGGTTAAAAAAAAACAAAACAGCAATAGAAAATAAATGTAAGCAAGGATGTGGAGAAATTGGAACCCTCATGGGAATGTAAAATGGTACCGTTTTTATGGAAAACAATTTGGTAGTTCTCCAAAACACTAAGTAAAATTACCATAGAAAGCCACTCTTAGGTATGTACTCAAAGAATTGAAAGGAAGGACTCAAACATATTCTCCCGTGTTCATTGCAGCCTTATTCACAATAACCAAAAGCTAGAAACAACACGTGTCCAATATGATGGACAAAATGTGGTGTATACATACAATGGAATATTATTTATCCATAAAAAGTAACAAAATTCTGATACCTGCTACAACATGGATGTGTTATACTAAGTGAAATAAGCCAGACACAAAAAGAAGGCAGATCAGAGGTTGCCTGAGGTGTTGGAGTGAGAAGAGAATGGAAAATTATTGCTTAATGATTATAGAGAGTTTCTGTTTGAGGTGATGAAAAGTTTTGAAAATAGTCGTGATGGTTGTTCAACATTGTGCATTTAATTGGTACCACTGAATATAGCACACACAAACATGGCTAAAATTGCGTTTTATGTATATCTTAATGATTAAGGTGATAGAACTAAAAGGACATTATATTCTTTTGCTGTCATCAACTCTCAAGAAATATGACAATCATTTCATATAGAATTTATAAACCACATCACCTTCTTCCTGAAGGGGAATAAGAAATTTGAGTGTTCTTTTTTTCTTTGTCAGAATATGTAAATTATAACCTGTCCATATACAGACCCTGAGAGCTGCCTTCCTGGGGGATGCCTCCCATCCATAGAGCATATGGCAGTTTAGAGAGATTCTGTATCCTGTTGACTCAAATGTCACAGAGGTCTGGTTTTGCGTTCCAGGTCTGATCGAAGTCTGGATCATCCTGCTGGAGCAGCTAGCGGCAGCTGTGTCCAACTGCCCACGGCAGCACCAGCCACCAACCTTGGATTTACTCTTCGAGCTGTTGAGAGATGTCACCAAAACACCTGGTAAATATTTCCATGTCTATCATTTGGGGCAGGTGTCCTACATATAATGTTTCTCAGAAAGGGCCTTCCTATTTTACTGCTGTAACCCTAGACAGCATAATAGATGCTCAGTAAATATTTATGGAGTGGCTATGATGTTTAGGATATGTCCTATGACTATTTACAAATAATGTGTGGTGGCCAGTTAGTTGAATGTGTTGGTGCCCCACAATGATCAGGCCGTGGTGTCAGTGTCTCCGTGAGTGAGCTGGCTTTACTCTGTTCCATAAACCCAGCCTTGTATCTCACATGTTACTGACCCAAGAGCGGTCGATAGGATTCACCGTGTCTCCCACTGAGCAGATATCCAAACCGCTCAAATGTAAATGCAGTATTAAGACAGCAGCATCTTGATTGTATAAAGGCCAAAGGAAATTAGATTTGTAAAATGACAGTTTAGTGATCACCTAGTACCCTGATAGGAGAGGAAAAGAATGTCCTTAAAAATGTATTTTTTTGTTGTTGTTGTTCTGAATTAAGGTTAGTATACACACTTATCCAAATTTTCCTAAAATTAAATTTTTATAGATTTTAGTTTTCATGAACAGAATCATAACCACACACTAAACCACTAGTTTATAGTAAGTAAGAAGAGGGGTTTTGCATTCAATATAAACAGATGAAGACTTGATAATTGTGGTACTGTTTTAAATCTATTGCAAACTTTATGTTGTAATTTTTCCCCAGAAAATCATAATAGTTACTCTCACATATTAAAATGTTAAATGCCAAAATAAGCAGGTATTTTTTTATTTTTTATTATTTACTTTTTAATATTTTATTGATTTATTTATTTTTAATATATTTTGTTGATTTTGTACAGAGAGGAAGGGAGAGAGATAGAGAGTTAGAAACATCGATGAGAGAGAGTCATCGATCAGCTGCCTCTTGCACACCCCCTACTGGGGATATGCCCGCAACCAAGGTACATGCCCCTGACCGGAATCGAACCCGGGACCTTTCAGTCCCCAAGCCGACGTTCTATCCATTGAGCCAAACTGGTCTCGGCAGCAGGTATTTTTTTAGTTAACATTTAAAATATATATTTTTTTATTGATTTTAGAGAGGAAGGGAGACAGATAGAGATAAGAAACATCTATGTTGAGAGAGAATCAGCTGCCTCCTGCACACCCATACTGAGGATCGAGCCCACAACCCAGGCATGTGCCCTTGGCTGGAATCAAACCTGGGACCCTTCAGTCTGTAGGCCAATGCTCTATCCACTGAGCCAAACTGGCTAGGGCAAAGCAGGTATTTTACAGAATGAATTATTTGCCACTGCTTCTAAATCTCTTTATTGGTCATTATCATTTTCTGCTTTCACATTTAGTGCTACTAAGTGTGTGAACTTAAAAATCTATCATCAAAGGAAATTGATGATGGTAATAAAGACAAAAACTATATATGATAATATATGCTAAAACATCTTAAATACAAAAAATAAGTATGGTAAAAGCATATAAATATTCTATGGACATTAAAATGAATATTTGTGAATAATATGTAATGACATAACTGTTTATAAGGCATTACGTTAAAATATACAATGAGTGGCCAGATTATAATGATCTCTGAACGCATAATAATCTGACCACTCAGTGTATTTGTATCTCAAATGGGCACCAAAAGTATTCTAGACTTTTGCTGGAGATCAACCACCTATTTTCCCTGAGCCTTCTATCAGCCAGTGCAAAGGGGAAAACTGATCAGGTGCAGATTTATAGTATCTTTGCTATAAAATAAATGAGGTACTCAAGAGAAGTACACTGAGTAGCCAGATTATTATGCATTCAGAGATCATAATAATCTGGCCACTCAGATTATATATGGAATATAATCTCAACTTTATGAAATTTTATACATTTATAAATATATACACCCCAAACACACATACATTCAGAATGTACTTTTTTCTTCTTTGTATTCTCATGTGTTTTCTGTTTGATTATAAAAAGGATGCCTCATTTTTGTAACCAGAATTTTAAAAATTCATCTTTCTCACAGATTTTCATTATGGCATTGACTATAAAGCAAAATAGAGAAATGTCTTCAATGTCCATTTTAAGGGAATGGATAAGTAAACTGTTGCATAAATAGACAATGGAGTAATAGTATGTGGAATAAAAATGAGGATTACATAAATTTGCTGACACAGAATGATCTCTAGCACATATTGTTAAGAGCAAAAATTCATGTAGACCAAAGTTTACATTATCCCATTTATATAAAAATAATAAAAAATAATAAATAACAAATACAACTCTATTTCTCTGTTTCATATAAATACATAAATACTTATATTTTAAGGGTATTTTCTTAATGTATCTGTATGTTTACATCTGGGAACTATCAAGTAGTTGATCAAGTGATTATTTGAATTCATGTATTACTTGCATAACTAAAATCATGCAGAAACAAAAAAGAAAAATGTAATCGGAGATCTGTATTCCCTAATCAGTGGTAAATGTTTTTCCCTGCACTTTCTCAGAGAATAGGGCACTCCCTCAAAAGAGGTCATCACGAAACCGGTTTGGCTCAGTGGATAGAGCATCGTCCTGCAGAGTCAAGGGTCCCAGATTTGATTCCAGTCAAGGGCATGTACCTTGATTGTGGGCACATCCCCTGTGGGGGGTGTGCAGGAGGAGGCTGATCAATGTTTCCAGCTTTCTATCCCTCTCCCTTCCTCTCTATAAAAAAAAATCAAATATATTTTTTAAAAAAGAGGTCATCAATGCAACAGGTGGCAAAAGCTTCCTTTTTATAGGAGAGTTGCTGAAATCATGGTTCTGATGCTTTTTATTTTCAGGACCAGGGTTTGGTATCTATGCAGTTGTTCATCTTCTCCTTCCTGTGATGTCCCTTTGGCTCCGCCGGAGCCATAAAGACCATTCTTACTGGGATGTGGCCTCAGCTAACTTCAAGCACGCCATCGGTCTGTCCTGCGAGCTGGTGGTGGAGCACATTCAGAGCTTTATACACTCAGGTATCTGTGGCACCCGAGCAGCTGGCATGGCATGTTTCATTAGTGGGCAGCAACACTGTCTAAAAGAGCTTACTAAATCCCTAATGCAACACCAGTGCATGGCTTTTGTCCTGGGAATTATTAACATAGAATTACATGGTCAAGGCCAGCCTTCTAATAGTAAATGGTCAAAAAGAAAATTGTTACTTACGTGTCCTGTACAAAATTAATAGAGAGACAAATGGCAGGGGGGCGGTTAGAGAGCAACCGGAGGACTTGTATGCATGCATATTAGCATAACCAGTGGACACAGACACTGGGGCAGGAATGGCTGGCCAGGAAAGGGGGGTCAAGTAGGAGAAAAAGGAGAAATATGTAAAACTTTAGACAATTTTTTAAAATTATCTAACAGAATACTTAAAATATATGTGTGACCAAAAGTAAGATACCTAATAATATCTGTGCATTAGGAGAGGCAAGTTCAAGTATATAATACATTTAAAAGGGAGAAATATCCCTGCAGCCTGGCGGGGGGAGGGGGGGTGCATTCTACTGTCCTGCTTCATCTGGGGTGGCTAAGTGACAGAGGCAGGATTCTAGAAAAGGCTGAAATTATGGGCAAGAAGTTGCTTAACAGGCTAAGCAGGCGTCTTCAAACTATGGCCCGAGGGCCACATGCGGCCCGCAGAGGAGTCTGATCCAGCCCGCCAGGTTTTTTGGGCAGTGAGCGCAGCCGAGGTGTTACAGTAGGAATTAGTAGTTCATATAGTCCGGCCCTCCAGCTTTCTGAGGGACCGTGATCTGGCCCCCACTTTAAAAAGTTTGAGGACCTTAATATCTATGGGGCTTTGAAAAATGGCTCGGAAGTGTGGGGAATATTGAAGTCCACAGATAGAGAGGGAGCCAGATGCAGGGGAGATCTGACTGCGGCAGTACCAGTGGGCGACATTAGGGAAATATAGATTCCTGCTCATGACTCTTAGTAAGAGGAGATCTGGAAATGTGAGAGGAAGAATGCTGATGCCAGCTCTAGAGGTTGCAAAGAAAAGAGGCTCCCTTTTTAGGAGGGGTTAGAGAAACTCATGAGCACTTGACCCTAAGGGAGAGTCAAAAAACAAAGGTAAGGAGTAGGTGTCTTTACTAAGCTTAGCAGAAAGATTTATTCTCTGGGGAGAGGGAGGACCTAATTGAGAAAGAAAAGAAGTGGGTGTCTGCACAGTAGGCTGACCAGTGTATCCTTACGGGTTGCTGCTCCTGACCAACTGCTTTGTTCTGCATGGGGCCCTTGAGGATTCTACTGAGAACTGTTTCTGTGGCTTCACAAGGACTTTGAAGAAAAGAATACTGATGTGTTCCTTGAATTGGGCAAACAGAATATGATTTTTAAAAATATATATTTTATTGATTTATTCACAGAGAGGAAGAGAGAGGGATAGAGAGTTAGAAACATCGATGAGAGAGAATCATCGATCGGCTGCCTCTTGCACGCCCCCTACTGGGGATGTGCCCGCAACCAGGTACATGTCCTTGCCCGGAATTGAACCTGGGACCTTTCAGTCCGCAGGCCGACGCTCTATCCACTGAGCCAAACCGGTCCCGGCCAGAATGTGATTTTTGAAAGTCTTACTTTCTTTAGCCTGGGGATAGTATGGAGACCAGACTCAGCGGGTTCAGGGAGTGGTAGAATGAGAGATTTTGTTGTTGTTTTCCAATGGCTTTTAATCCAACTTAATTCTACTATCAGCAGTAAGGAAAGTGTGTTTTATTCCCTCCACTTCCTTTAAGAATTTACATGTGTCACTAGCTAGTATTTAGGCTATATATTATATTCTACTTAAGTAAATAAATGATATATTCTTGAGCACATGAAAGTGAAGCACATATTTCATCTTGATAAATCAAAAATAAATATTATATATTTTATCACAATTATATATTTTCATCACACATATTTATTTTCTTATCAGATTTTCCTCCTTTGCAGCCCCTTCTTTTGCAATAGTGTTGCGTGAAACTTGCTGTGCTTCTTCCTACAGACATTAGGTACGAGAGCATGATCAACACCATGCTGAAGGACCTCTTTGAGTTACTGGTAGCCTGTGTGGCCAAGCCCACGGAAACCATCTCCAGAGTGGGCTGCTCCTGCATTAGGTGAGAAAGGGGTTCTTTTGCTCTCCCTACGAAACTGGAGTTTTCCTTATGAAATCCAAGGGAATTAATGATCCTTTGTGGTAACAATCTACTTTTTAGATTGTTTTTTTATAAAAATAACTTTATGCTAATATGTCTTCATTTCTGTGTTCAGTTGGCAAATATTTGTTGTGTAGGCATCACACAGGTTCCCTGCCCTCGAGGGGCAGTGAGCCTGTTCCAAAGGGCATACCAGAGAGTCCCTGAAGAATCATCACAGTACGGAGTAACTAAATGCTGAGAAAGGACAGGAGGCAGGCGGTCAGCGGGGCTTTTAGTAATGATACTTGCTCAGATCAGGACTTTGCAGGCGAGAAGAGCATGGACAAATACATGGAGAAAAGAATTAAAGTGACAAAAGGGTTTTTTGTTTTGTTTGTTATTTGTAAAGGAGTAGTACGGACAACAGGGCTAAGACGGAAAAATTAGTACAGACTGTATACATTCTTGCATGCAAGCCTAAGTTTAAACATTGGCCTGTTTGGAATAGGGACCCATTTGTATTTTTACCTTGAAATGGTTTTGGAAGTCGTAGTATGGTCATGAAACACCAGATTGACAAGACAGCAAAACTTGTAAGGATAGCGTGGAATAAATGTGTGTAAGGGTCTAAGTCGTGTAGCAGTAAAATGTGTGGATTTAAGAAGTCTGGTTTCTTTTGGCAGGTACGTTCTCGTGACAGCAGGCCCTGTGTTCACGGAAGAAATGTGGAGGCTGGCCTGCTGTGCCCTGCAGGACGCATTCTCTGCCACACTCAAGCCCGTGAAGGTAAAATGCTGGGAGAGAACCAGAGCAGGGTCCAGTCCTACATAGTTCCCTGTGAGTTGGCCACCTGAAGTCTGCCTTCCTCATAGAGGCAGTCTCCGACACAGTGACAGTGTCAGACCCTACTGCCGTGGTCGACAGACTGCGGCTCGCGAGCCACTTGCGGCTCTTTGGCTCCTTGAGTGTGGCTCTTCCACAAAATACCACAGCCTGGGCGAGTCTATTTTGAAGAAGTTTAAAAAATTTGGTTCTCAAAAGAAATTTCAATTGTTGTACTGTTGACATTTGGCTCTGTTGACGGAGTTTGCCGACCACTGCCCTAGTGCCATCCACCCCGAGGCACCTGGTGAATGACTGCTGTGTTTGTCCCTAGGATCTGCTGGGCTGCTTCCACAGCAGCACTGAGGGCTTCAGTGGGGAAGGCTGCCAGGTGAGGGTGGCAGCCCCCTCCACCTCCCCCAGTGCCGAAGCCGAGTACTGGCGCATTCGAGCCATGGCTCAGCAGGTAAGGGCTGGCCTTGTGATCCCAGGGGCTCTAGAAGTTTAACACATTGCTGGGAGTCCCACGCTGCCTTTCACTCCCTTAGAGACCTTGACCTCTTGCCAGTAGATTCTTCACCAGAAATGACTTGAATTCAATTGATAGCATTTATGGTCCTCCCTACCATCTCTTGTTATATTTTGTCACTGCTTGCCTGTGAGTACCTAAGGATGGCACACTTATTTGCATCAGTCAAGTTAAACTGTACTTACTCTTGTAGGTGTCATCATGGACTTTTTCTTCTGGCATATGCCAAAGGGGTGGCTTCTCTAAATATAAAGCCATTACACCTAGCTAGCTAAAGAATTTCCCCAGGTGCATACAGTAAGAAGTGAAAATGTCCATGGAATCCTATTCTGAAATAGATCATTCATGGAGAACAGCCAAGACCATTTCGCTCCATAATATTTCTTTCTTCAGTTCCAAACCTACCTCCTATATTCACTCTTCACTTAACCCAGTAATCTGATAATGCTTACAAACTTTGGAAATAAAATATTCATTTAAAATACTCATATTTTCAAAGGGAAGTAGGTTAAATCATGTAAAATGAAATCTCACATGGATCAAAATGAGGGCCGTGGTTACCCTTCTTTTAGTCACTTCTCCTGTCAGTAATGATGTGGCCATACTACTCTACTACCCTGTTTCCCCGAAAATAAGACAGTTCTTATATTAATTTTTTCTCCCAAAGTTGCGCTAGGTCTTATTTTTGGAGGATGTCTTATTTTCGGGGAAACACGGTAGACAGCCAGAGAAGTCCTAACTTTTTTTGTACTGGGCAGAATAAGATACCAAACAGATGTCACAATCAGAGAAGATCTTTTACAAACATCACCCCCCTGTATTTACTTTTAATATTAAACATCAGTGAGCGCTCTTTGGAGAGTGTTGGATTATCACCTGCTAGAAGGAGAAGTGTTATTAGTGTTAGCAGCTAACATTTATTGAACATTTGCTATTCTTATCTAGTGTTTTTCCTATGTAATACATATGTGTTTATTTGATTCTCTTGACAAACATACCTGGTTGGAAACCATTATCCACCTCATTTCATAGGTGAGAAAATGAGTAGAGAGAATAGGTACTTGCCAGCTAACCTCTTGAGTTGGATCTCTGAACTGTGCCTTTGTGTACCCATCCAGGTGTTTATGTTGGACACCCAGTGCTCACCAAAGACTCCAAACACCTTCGATCATGCCCAGTCCTGCCAGCTCATTATTGAGCTGCCTCCTGATGAAAAGCCAAACGGACACACCAAGAAAAGGTAAGCAGCGAAGCTTAAACACTTAGGGCCTTATAAATAGGGAAGTTCCTTTAGGGCCTTATAAATAGGGAAGTTCCTTTAGACCCAGTCCTTGCTAATTACAATCCAAGCTTTCTCTAGGAATACTGAAATATTTGCAGTCATTTAACAAATGCTTTCATACAAAATAGTTATCTTTTCCACATTTCAGACTTGCTAGGGCTGCCACAATGGGATAGCTTAAACAGCAGAAATTGGAGACTGACGTGTCGCCAGGCTTGTTTTTTTTCTAAGTTTCTAGATGGATGTTTCCTCCCTGTGTCTTCACACATTTTCTCTCTGTACCTGTCTGTGTCCTAATCTCCCATTCTTATATGGATGACAGTCCTAGTGAATTAGGGTCCCCACTAATGCCTTCATCTCTTAATCTATTTATTTAAAGACCTTTCTCCAAAGATAGTCACATTTTGGGATACTGTGGGTTGGGATCAACATTTGAATTTGAAGACACATCTCTGTCTATAGCATCATACATATAACTTAAAAAAAATAATTTTGAGGTGTAATTCATATTGTATCAGCGAGAAATAAATGAAGTTCTTATGAGCAACACAGCTGTCAGGAGACAAAAAAATACATGTGCTCTGCCACAAGAACCTTGATCTTTTTAAATACAGGCACTGCTCAGAGAGAGATTACAGGTTTGGTTCCAATAAAGCAAGTTGCGCAAAACAAAAAAAGCATAATTATTTCACTGGTGGAGGCACTTGCCTCCAATCTGTTAAAAATCATAACATCTGTAAAGTACAATAAAATGAGGAGTGCCTGTACTACCATCCTGCTTCAAAACAACTGTACTTGCAGATGAAGGCAACTACTGAAGTTTTCCAATTTAAACTTCCAACAAACTACAAGTGATGCTGATAAATATTTAAGCACAATATGTGAAGGACAGTAGCTAGATCTTTCCACTACCATTGAAAGAGGCTGAGCCACTTCCCCCAAGTGGTGGAGCCAGACTCAAAACTAGTTCCATTTTAGGGAGAGTGTGTTATTTTTCCAAAAGTTAGATGCTTAGTACAGCATTTTGATTAATAGAACCAATTCAGTGAAACTTCCAAGTACACTTTTTTAGTCAAGTGTGTGGTACATACAAAATGTAACTATGACCCTGTCAACCACCTTCAGAAATAGAGCTTTACCAATATCCCACATGCTCCTCTCTAGTTCTATGCCTGGTTTCCCCCAGTCACTCATTTTTCAAGTGTACCACTAGTAAATCAAATATAACAATATTTTAAAAGGATCATACACCACCATCCAGGAGGATTCATTTCAGGGGTGCGCAAGTATGGTTTAACATCCGTAATTCAGTGTGACATACCACATTAACAGAATAATGGATAAAAATCATGATTTGTTTAGTACAGTGGTCAGCAAACTCATTAGTCAACAGAGCCAAATATCAACAGTACAACGATTGAAATTTGAGAGCCAAATTTTTTAAACTTAAACTTCTTCTAATGCCACTTCTTTAAAATAGACTTGCCCAGACCGTAGTATTTTGTGGAAAAGCCACCCTCAAGGGGCCAAAGAGCCTCATGTGGCTCAAGAGCCACAGTTTGCCGACCACAAGTTTAGATTTTAAAAAAGCATTTATAAGATACAACATCCATTTATAAAAACTTTCAATAAAATGGGTTCAGAATGATAGTATCTCAACATAATAAAGTTCATATATTACAAACCCACAGCTAACATCATACTCAACTGTGCAAAACTAAAAGCTCTTCCTCTAAGATCAAGACAAGGATGCCCACTCTTGCCATTCTATTCAACATAGTACTGGAAGTCCTAGCCACCGCAACCAGGCAAGTGGAAGAAATAAAATGGTCACTATTTGCTAATGAAATGATTTTATATACAGAAAACCTTAAAGACTATGATTTTATATACAGAAAACCTTAAAGACTATCGGAAAGATAAATGAAGTAAACAAGCCCATTTACAAACATACCAAAAAGAACAAAATACTTAGGAATAAACTTAAAGAAAGTGAAAGACCTGTATTCTGAAAACTGAAGATATTGTTTAAAAAGAAATTGAAGGAGATACAAAGAAATAGATACTCCACGTTCACATTACCTAAAGCAATCTACAGATTCAATATAATCCCTATTAAAATCCCAATGGCATTTCACAGAAATAGAATGAAAATATTAGGTTCTCCTCTGTCACATGCTGAAAGCACTGAACTTTTTACATGTATTCATCTAATTCTAAAGCATTAACGGTTAAACTGTTTTGGTCTTTAGAAAGCTAAACTTCAATAAGATTGCTAAAAATATTGGATTTAAGAAAAACTATTTTTTATTTGATATGTTAATTACTCAGATATAAAATGTATTCTAATTATGCCTATATAAATCAGTTGTTATAAAAACTGTTTATTATTTTTCTAAGGCTTGTAGATAATCGTTAATTAGTGTCATAACTTAGTTCTATAGCTCCTAGGTTTTAAAAAGTGTCAGGAATTCCATTTATTATGATTAAAATTATCGTGTAATGCCCTTTTTTTTTTTTTTAATGGTTTTATATACAGAAAACCCTAAAGACTATCAGAAAAAAAGCTATCACAAAGAGAAATGAAGTAAACAAGCCCATTTACAAACATACCAAAAAGAATAAAATACCTAGGAATAAACCTAACAAAAGAGGTGAAAGACTTATATTCTGAAAACTGAAGGTACTGTTTAAGAAATATTTTTTTTAAAGGGCATTCCACAAAAACCATTTTAAAGAAGGCATTAAAATACAAGTAAACAAGTAATTTAGTTAGATTTTGCATATATCATTCTGAAACGCGTAATGCCTTTAACACATCATTCAAGGCAGGAGGTTCCTAACCAGTCCCTTTCTTTCCCCTTGAAGTGTTTCCTTCAGGGAGATTGTGGTGAGCTTGCTGTCCCATCAGGTGTTGCTGCAGAACTTGTACGACATCTTGCTAGAAGAGTTCGTCAAAGGCCCCTCTCCCGGAGAGGAGAAGACCGCCCCAGCGCCGGACACCAAGCTGGCGGGCTTCCTGCGCTACATCTCCATGCAGAACCTGGCCGTCATCTTCGACCTGCTGCTGGACTCCTACCGGACGGCCAGGGAGTTTGACACCAGCCCGGGCCTCAAGTGCCTGCTCAAGAAGGTGTCCGGCATCGGAGGGGCCGCCAACCTCTACCGCCAGTCTGCCATGAGCTTCAACATCTACTTCCACGCGCTGGTCTGCGCCGTCCTCACCAACCAGGACACCATCACGGCCGAGCAGGTGAAGAAGGTCCTCTTCGAGGACGACGAGAGGAGCACCGACTCCTCGCAGCAGTGCTCCTCGGAGGACGAGGACATCTTCGAGGAGACGGCCCAGGTGAGCCCGCCGCGGGGCAAGGAGAAGCGGCGCTGGCGGGCCCGCCTGCCCTCGCTGAGCGTGCAGCCCGTCAGCAACGCCGACTGGGTGTGGCTGGTGAAGCGGCTGCACAAGCTGTGCATGGAGCTGTGCAACCACTACATCCAGATGCACCTGGACCTGGAGAGCAGCCTGGAGGAGGCGCCCCTCCCCAAGGGCGACCCCTTCTTCATCCTGCCCTCCTTCCAGTCCGAGTCCTCCACCCCGTCCACCGGCACCGGCACCGGCGGCTTCTCGGGCAAAGACACGCCCTCGGAGGACGACCGCAGCCAGGCGGCGGCGGCGGCGCGGGAGCCCCCCGCGGGGGGCGAGTCCCCGGTGCCGCCCCCGAGCCCCAAGGCGGAGAGGAAGGAGCCCCCCGGCAGGAAGAAGGAGTGGTGGGAGAGCGCGGGCAACAAGATCTACAGCATGGCCGCGGACAGGACCATCTCCAAGCTGATGACGGAGTACAAGAAGCGGAAGCAGCAGCAGCAGCAGCACAACCTGCCCGCCTTCCCCAAAGAGGGCAAAGGGGAGAAGAAGGGGGAGGCCCTGGGCGCCCGGGGCCCGGACTCCCCGCTGCTGCAGCGGCCCCAGCACCTGATGGACCAGGGGCAGATGCGGCATTCGTTCAGCGCGGGCCCCGAGCTGCTGCGGGAGAAGAGGCCGCGCTCCGGCTCCACCGGGAGCTCCTGGAGCGTGTCCGTGCGGGACGCCGAGGCGCAGATCCAGGTGGGTCCCTGCAGGGCGGGGTGGGCGCCCCGGCTATGCAGGGGAGGCCGGGGTTCTGAGGATGCACACTCCCGCACTGTCCGAGATTAGAGGGACACCAATAAGAGACCCAGTTTCCCTCCAATGGCAGGAGATTGGCAGAGGCTAAGACTAGGATATGTCTGTATCAGTGATGTCACGGTGAAACTGACATTTTATTATTAGAAAATTTCAGAAATTATTTTTATGGGTTATAAACAGATATTATTGAGAAGATGGAAGCCAAACTTATAAAATGGGTGTGCTTCAGGGGGAAGTGAAATAAGCCAGTCAGAGAAGACAAATATCAGATGATCTCACTCATATGTGGGATATAGCGAACAAAATAGATCCAGAGGCATAGAAGTATGCAGCAGACTGTGGAATCTCAGAGGGAAGGCAGGTGGGAAGAGATCAACCAAAGAACTTGTATGCATCTATGCATAACCAATGACACAGACAATAGTGTGGTGAAAGCCGGTGATGGGTGAGAAGTGGTTAATGGAGGGAAAAGGAGACATATGTAATACTTTCAACAATCAATATGTTTTTTTAATGGGTGTACTTTAGCTGGTATGGAGTCCTGAGTTTATCATTTGAAGATACACTGAAGAAATTCCATAGTTAGGAAGAATAATATAAAGGTGGTTATGCCAATGAACTGTTTTAATCTCAAGTTTTCCTAATCTCAAGTTTTCCTAACCTATCCAGAGCACATAAAAATTATCATTCTTCAGAGGGCTCTGAGGGCCTGCTCATTGATATATTTCATATTTGTAATTTCATCGAACATAAAAAAATGAGCTCGAGAAGGAAACAGTGGTGGTACTGTTTTGTTCAATTTAGAATAAGATGAGATGGAGGAGAAAACAAATAGAGGGGATGTGGAGTCATGGCGAGACCTCTAAAAACTATCTGATGTTTTCCTGAAATTTGGACCCCTGCTAAGGGCATAACAAATTAGACAATCTTGGGCCCTAGGATCTCATGAACCTATACAGAGATATATTCTTTGAATGAACATAAATTTAGAAATAGTATGAATCTCTTGTAAGATGTGTTATTTCTCACTAAAGTACCTTGAATGTTTCCACAAAAATCATAAACTAGATTTGCAAAAGTCTATGATCAAAAGTCAAACTGTGATGCCTGATTATTCTTTAACAGATGGCCTTCTTGACAAATATTGCCTTTCATGTCTTGGAATTTTGCTTATGATTTTAAAAGTTATCCTATATTAAAATAGATCTATTTCAAATTTCCTAGGCATTATAGTGACTGCTGATTAAAAGTGTTAAAATCCCATTATGAAAAATTAAGAGTTTTTAAAACTGAAGAGTAAATAAGATTTTATAGTTTATGAAAGCTGAAAATAAGGTATTCATAATCTATACTAATAGAGGAATATGCAAATTGTCCAGGACACCATCATAGTAACAACTGAACAGCAGGATGTGGGTGGGTGGGAACGGGGACAGGGACGCGGGTGTTAGTGAGAGAGCACCAAATGACTGAACAGCAGGTTGTGTAGGGTGACTGGACCGGTGGGGGGGCGGGCAGTAAAGACTAATTTCTTACAGCCTAACAGCCTGAGAAAACTCATTTGCAAATTGGCAGGACTTAGCACACCTGAGAGTTCAAATGAAACCACAGGAGAAAGCTGATAATTCTCTTAAATCCTTTCTCTTAGGCATGGACCAACATGGTGCTAACAGTTCTCAATCAAATTCAGATCCTTCCAGACCCCACCTTCATGGCCCTCCAGCCAGCAGTGTTCCCATGCATCAGCCAGCTGACCTGTCACGTGACGGACATCAGAGTTCGCCAGGCTGTGAGAGAGTGGCTTGGCAGAGTGGGCCGTGTCTATGACATCGTTGTGTAGAAAACTCACATCGAAGAAATTCAGTAGCGAGGGTTAGAGTATGCCTGCCAATCTAACTGACAGCATTTTCCCCACCACCAGCTCTACCATCACTAGTGTCTCAGAACAATCAGCTGCACCCTAACTAATCGCATTGGGGCCATTCTGGATACCAAGGTTGTATCTAGATGAGAAATGATACTCTGATTTTGCACATTCTTTCAGAAGTTTCTCCATTCCTTGACACATTTCTAAATCATGAAGTTGATTTCCCAGTGCTTTTGCCTGTAATGTTATTGCCAAATGGGTCCCTTTCCAAAGACCGCTCCTTTGAAAACTGCATTGATCCATTTGATTCTTTTTTAAATGCAATTACTAAGAAAATATCTGCTGGTAAGTCAAGCTGATGTATAAACATGCCTATATTTAGTACCAAACATTAGTCATTGAAGAAAGACTTGTGTCATGATTGTGCATTTGGTGGAGAAGAAGACAGAAAGATATATCCTTATGTGTCATAATCAAGAAAAGGATAGCTTTCTCTGTAAAATATTCCAGAACATTTCAAAATTGTCCTAAGTTGTCAAGATTTTCTGGTTGGTACTCACCAACTTCTTTGTATAAGGTACTGTTGTGCCTTTATTTTCCCTATTTCTAATGGAAGAAAATTATTTCCTGGCAGAGTGTTAAGTTGGTGTCATGGCAGCCTTTGACACCCAGTGCCCAGTGACATTTGCTGATACAGATATTGCCAAGATTCAGAAGACTGGCCAGTCACCTGGCAGTCCCATTAGTCTTTGCTTTTGCTCCCAAGGCAGAAAAGAAAAGGGAAAGAAAAAATGGTGCCTTAGTCCTTTGTTGCACGGGCATTTCTATGCTCCACAGTTATCTCAACATAAGGTATAACATTTGGCTTTTAAGAAAACAAAACATTAAGATACAACTCATTTGCTATATACCCTCTTGGAGAAAAGGAAGTGGGTTTTCTATTCAGTGAGCAGACTTCTCAGGGAAGGGGCAGACAGTGTGGGGTAGGGAGACAGCTGGTGGGGTGGGAAAGGACATTATGATGAAATCATTGTAATCTTCTGTTACACAACCTCTCATCTCAGAAGAAAACTAATGGAGAAAGGGACACAGGATGAAGTCTAGGAAATTTAGTTGTTTTCAATTTAAAATATTTCTCCTCTCCGGCAAGTCCTTGTACCCCATGTCTGAGGTCCTCTTATTCACGCCAATAATTTAAGTGAATATTTTTTTAAATATTACTAAAAAATTAATCTGGAACCTTATCTTATTATTATATATTTAATACTTCTTAAATTATAATAATGATTGAAACTCCTCAGACAAGCTCATTCATATATATTCTAGTACAGTTAGTTGCTATGACATACGTTATAATTTTCCCAGCCCCTAAAAATGCATTCATAATTGAATGTGCCATTTTTAAAAATAGAGCATCAACTCTTCAATATTAAAATAAGGATTTGAAATTGATGACTTTACTCAGTGCTAGTATATGTAAACTTATCCATAAGACTGCCAGAAAGATAGAGCTGATTTACGTAAGCAATCTAAAAGCCGGAACTTTTATGTTCCTGTGTGGGACTTTTATTTTTCAGTATGCCACCTAAAAATCACCATGGAATCCAGAAGACATTCTGGTTTCCACAAAACCCAAAACATATTCTTCGCTTTCAGTTTTTAGTCATTAGTTAATAATTTGAATTTAGAAACAGATCACTATTTGTAATAAGCAATGAATTGTTGGTATAGCAATGAACTGAGTTAGTGCTTTTGAATTTTTATGTTTTTAAAGTAGAATTGAAAATCAGGTTAGATACTTTTTTGTAAGCAAATACAGTACACCAGTGTTGTTCTGTTTTATTTTGTAGCTTATCTTCAGTTCTCTTTTGTGAGCCAGTGAATACTATAAAATTTACTAGGGGGGTTGGGTGGGATCCTTTGGTAGAGTATCAAATCAGAGTAATTATAAAAGGTTGTTACATATGAACATTTTGGAAAGTATGAAAATTCAAAGGAAGCCAGTCTCAGTTTATCAATGCCATGGCCCAGAGTATGTTCACTAATTATTTAGAAATAAGAATTCATTCCCCCACAGATTCTCTATTATGGGATCCAAGGCTAGTTTATGAAAATAGGTTTACCCCATACTCTATCCAAACACTGCTCTAGCACTAACCTGATTGTGGGGACCAAGAGCAAAGAGATGAGGGAACACAGAGAACTCTTTACCTATAATTTATTAGAGGCTTTGGTCCCTTCCCATCACCTTTTCTGTAGCCCACCTGAGACCCACATTGGTCTTCAGCCCACCTTCATTCCCTACATACGACTATATCAGAATTCACCCAGAAAATTAACTGTACTTCCCGAGGTATTTGCAGTTTTAAAAAATGACACTTGATGCAAATAATTGCTAATGAACAAGACTTCCAAGTCACAACAAAGTCAGTTGAATCCCCCCACAGACGGGGAAGAAAAGGAGATAATTAGGAATCCGTGGTAGAGATAGACATGAGCCCTTTCCCAGAGTGCCCAGTGCATCTCTAACACTCTTCCTGGTATTCAGTTTCTGCTTTTCCCCAACGTTTCTAATAGACCAAGGTCTCGGCAGCCTTCGTAGTTAAAACGGTTATTACCACATACTTACAGATCTAAGTAGAATAAGATTTTGCATGTTACTTTTAGTTGCCGATATTTTTTATTATTAAATGTGTGTGACCCTAAGGATGAGAGTTACTCTCTTTTTCTCATATTTTGGTAAAGTGCACATCATGAACACCTGAAAAACAAAGTGTAAAAGAATTCCTGACTGGACAGCTCAGCCAAGCATATCAGAGTCATCAGATTTCTCCTTGCCGGGAGGGCACAGATTTGATGAAGGATCTCCTAGTTCTTGCCTCTCCTGATCAGTTTTGAAAGATGCTTAGGCTGCCTCTCTCTATCATCTTGTTCTTTCTCTCCTTTAAAGTTATTCTCTAGCCTTTTCCATCAACACAAAACTAGGCACCTTTTACCACTGAATGCTATATCATGACCAGCCATGGCTGATGCACAACATTCAAATTAAAGTATTTTCAATCAGATGTGACAGAATGGTAGAATTCAAAAGTACCTTTAAATGGAAACTTTTTGTAACAACATCACTGAGTATTTTGCTCTTGTTTTAAGGGGAAAGCTTATACAAGTCAGTTGAGAATGATATGCAATTACATAATATATAACTTTGACTTCCCTCAAATACATCACAATACTGCTTCTCAGAAAGGAAGCTCACTCATGTCTGTCCCTTCAAACTGAACAAAGCAAAGGTAACCACAGCAAGAAAGTTACAAACAGCAGGAGGAGGTGAGATTTGTTGAGTGCTACTGCCAAGGAACATTTACCTACATTACCATATTTTATTTTCACAGTAACCTTGTGAAACAGGTATTTTCCTCATTTTTTAGCTGAGGAAGAGACCCAGAGAGGTTAAGAAATTTGCCCAAGATAACCATGGCAAAGTTGGTTGCAAAAGCGCTCTCTATACTGTACCATTCTCTAAATGCACCAAGTAAACATCTTAGTGTCCCAAGGAATTACAGTTAAAATGCATTAAAAATACTTAATGGATGTCCCGGATCCATAATTTTATGGGGAATTTTAAATAGGGTTAAAAAAGAAAAGGATCATGTTTACTGGTTTATACAGAAAGAGTAATAACACAACATTTTGAATGTTCAGAAATAAAATCTAAACCTCCATCTTAAAGCAGACATTCAGTGGTAATTTAGAAAATTTGCCAATTAGGTGGAAATGATGGAATAATCTTGTTCATGGCCAGCTGTTATGCAGGAAATCCATGGCAGTCTGCGTCTGGAACATGCACAGATTGTGAGCCTTTTTTAATGACCATAGCCAACAGTGCCTCTGCTTGCTTCCCTGGAAGTATTATAATTGTACTAAATCTGTAAGGTCTTCATCTAAGTTCGGGAATATACAAAATAAATAACCACTTTCAAATGTGCACTCTAACAAAAAAGTACTGGTTAGACAAAAGTGTTTGAAGATCCAGGTACTGAGGGCATGAGGTCAATATCCATAGTAACCATGTGCCATAAACCTAAATATTCCAATTATTTTGTCAGCAAAAAACAAATTCAGAATTTACATGTGCTTGGCTTCCACATAGGTGATTCCAATGAGCTTTAGAGTGGCCTTAAAATACAAGACTATTTTAAGCACTTTTTATTTGAAATATGAGCTTCTCTTAGGCAAGGTTTATGAAACTAGTAAAGCATTCATTTATAATTATGCTTCATCAGAAACAAAACAAGAAAACAAGCTGTGTTCCCTCATTCATTAGTGGACCAATCTAGAAAACTGTGAGATCTTCCTGTGCTTGTATTGTAATGTTCATGTTTGCTGTGGAAGTAACTAATAATTAAAGTTTTGGACTAGAATACCATATAGATTTCCAAAACACAATTATTCAGGGAAGACAGGCCAAAAAAGAAAAAAAAAATTATCTCCTGGGATGGTTTAAGACAGTGGTCAGCAAACTCATTAGTCAGCAGAGCCAAATATCAACAGTACAACGATTGAATTTTCTTTTGAGAGCCAAAATTTTTAAACTATATAGGTAGGTACATTGCTATTAACTTAAATAGGATACTCCTAAGCTGGCCTTTGATAAAAACTCAAGGGACCAAAGAGCCACATTGGCTTGAGAACTGCAGTTTGCCAACCACTGGTTTAAGAGAAACTCAGTTGAAAGCAATGCTCGATTTCTTTATAAACAGTGGCACCACTAGTAACTGAAGAAAAGCCACTCTCACACCACTGGCACCATGCAAAACATTCCTCTTTGTGTACTAATGCAAGGGGGTTCCAGGGAGGAAAGACTGGTTGAACGTCTTTGTGATTAAGCTGCAGTTGACTGCTGGTGAATCTCATCCAGTTATGGTCCTTCCAGCCTGTTCAACCACCAGGAATTATTTGTACTGTCATTCCTCTCCTGAAGGTTTGAGTCATGGTTGTCTAGTGTCGTCTGACTTTAGAATAGTGGTTCTCAGACAATGGCACACATCAGAACCACCTGGAGGGCTGGTGAAAATACAGACTGCCAGGCCCAAACGTTCTGCTCAAGTAGGGCTGGAAATCTGCATTTCTAACAAGTTCCTAGAGGAGGTCAATGCTGCTGGTCTGGGGACCACACTTTGAGAACCACTATCTTGAAAAAATTTCCAATTCTTATCTTTAAGATCAGCTTGACTTATCAAGCACTAGAGAAAAACTGAACTTAACCTTGGCAAACAACTTGGGATTGGATTCTGTACAGCAGGGGTGGAGAATGTCTCAGCCTTGGGCCGTAGGAGGCCCCAGAAGTCATTTGGTCTGGTCCTGCCAAGGCATTATGGGTAAGTTGAGTGTTTGACCAAATACAGCAAGCTAATTTTTAAGTTGATAATTTTGTCTCGCCTGAGAATGATGATCCAAATGGTCATTGACAGAAAAAAAGTTTCCCCACCCCTGCTCCACAGCATTCCTGCTCAATCTTTTGTTTCCATGGTTTATTATACCAACAATTGTTTTGTGGTTTTGTTTTTTTTTTTTTTTTACAAGCTAGAAGACAATGAATGTATAAGTTCTATGGAACAGTGAGACCAGTATAAGCTTCTCGTCTTTATAGTTAGAAACATTGATTCTGTGGATGATCGTTCGTATCTTGCTGGACCTTTGACTTGTACTGAGGTGATTTTAAGTTTAAAAGTATATGGTGTTTGTGTTTTTATTCTGTCTATACAGTTTTAATGAAATGTTTTTATGTCCACTCCTTTATAACCTTGGCTCCTGGCTTCCAGATGTTTTTGAGTAGTTGCTTGCTTGCCAGT